GGCTGTGGATAGTTATCTTGCAGCTTCGCTTTGGTTCTTGGCAATAAATTTGACTTTTGAACTGCCGATGAAGCCCTAAAATTTAAAATCTCAAACAATTCTGTGGGAAGGTCTATGTCCTAGCGAACTATATGCAAAATTGCAAAATAATATTTGTATTGTATGTATATTTTCTATTTCCTTAATATTTTAATTTCGGGTAATATACAGCAAATAAAATTTCATATGCCCTAGTGGCCCAGGGGCTGATTTATTACATAAAAAAATTATGAGTTGCAATAATGAAAATCAAAATAAAAATGGGAGAAGCAAAGGCGTAGCTCACAATGGGAGCATCTTATGAATGTGGCCACTTCACAGACACCATCACCTATCAATTTTTGACAGTTCTGTTCGAAGATGTCCATTTCAAAGCAATATTGAACTGGTGTTACATGTGCTTCAGGCCTCTGATCTATGTACCCAGCTTTGAACCAAGCATATTTGATGAAGTTCTTAAATCGTGAAGCCGAGAACTGGTTGTGGGTAATTGACTGGATTTTCAAAATATTATCTCGTTGGAAAAGATTGACTTCCAACCGATCCAGGAGAATACGATCTGAAACTTTGCGGATAAAGTCCTTCCACATGCGGAAGAAATAAACATCCAACGGTTGGATAATTCCAGTTGTTTTTGGTGGAATCTGCATTAGAGTCATTGTTTTATTATCCGGTTCAACACAGACAATTGCATCCTGATCTTTGTAGGTGCCCCACGAATCGACCAAAAGAAGGAAATCTTCTTTAGCTGCCGGGAATAGCACTTCTTTGAAGTACTCATTGATTAGAAGATTCTTGGTCATCAGACCAGAGGCTGATGCCACAGGATGAATGTTCGGAGCCTGGAAAATTGTGACTGTTCTTGGAAATTTGCCTCCCGCTTCCTGCAGACAGATAAGAAGAGGAGACATGAGCTCGCCGTCCATGGAAATTGTTGGCTGGATGGTGTAGGAGTGCGTAGTTGCATTAACCGATTGCACGACAGATTCGACAGATTTTCTGCCCCGGAAGTCTAATGTTCGTCCCGAATGTAGTTCTTTTTTGAAGCCACTCTGATCTGTGTTCAATACCTGTCGCGAGGGGTGTGAGTCCAGGACATCTCTAACTTGTTTCACAAACTCTATTGCAGTATCGGAAACTGCTCGCTGATCCAAGGAGTATTTGTTGGACACTACTCTAGTAATCTTGCGGGAAACGATGGAATGGGTTTTCTTCCACATCCATATCCATCCAATTGATGCTTTAAAATTTTTGAGTGGTTGCTCGAGTTTCTTATTTTCCTCTAGTGCCCATCGCTTCAAGTCGTTGTCATGAACAGGAAGAAGTGCTTCCTTCGCAGCCTGGAATCTCGATAGCAGGCCTACATGGATCTTACAGAACTTTTCCTTTCGTGTGCCCGCCTCTTGAACTTGACGTTCATATCGATGAAGTTGAGCTCGACTTCTAATGAATCTGAAATTGTGGCGAACTGTTTCAAATTTCAAGGTCCCTTTCTTTCCTGATCTCCAAAATTCCACAGCTTTTTTCTTCTGTGCCATCGTTGGTCCCATTGTCATATGTCGCTTCGTGGGTGAAGGCTCATATGAGGAAGAAGAAACTTCATGGTCTTCATCGCTGTCATCATCATCGCCATCATCTTCCTCATCATCTTCATAGCAATTTTCATTCGTTTCCTCGGTTTTTCCTTTTTCGAAATCGAATACAAGATCTTCTTGAAATTCAAACTCGAATTCATCCCCTTCGACGCATGATTTCAAAGTCTCTAAAATAGAACAGGATTAGTAACAAAGAGTGTATTTTAATTATATTCATATAGTAACAAGTTACCTGTTAACTTCTCTGCCAAATCGACTTCGACATCTGATGGCACTGATGTAGGGGTCCAGTAGGAAAATTTAACCTCCAGGAGCTTAAGAACAGTGAGAGGATTGATCATGATGATGAATCCGAGAAACAGAACTAGCAAAAGGCAAAAGGTGTAAAAAAAATGGCGACCATTAGAAAAAGGGGTCGTTTCTCTTAACACACTCAGGATGGGTCGCGAGTTTACACACTTGTTCAAGCAATCCCAGGCATTCTAACCTTAGCCTAGAGCCGAAAAAGTCATAGCCATGTAGGCCCAGAACATTAAGCTAAAGCAACAGAAACATAGGCCAGAGTGACTTATCGAAGGGATAAAATGTCTAATTCGCAATGTGTATTGAATAAAAACATGATTGCCTTTAAAAAAAAAAACTATTTTCGGGACGAACATTAGATTTCCGAAGTAGAAAATCTGTAGAATCAGTCGTGCAATCGGTCAATGCAACTACGCACTCCTACACCATCCAGTCAACAATATCCATGAACGGCGAGCCAAGGTAAAAATGTTGCGTGATATCTTTAAATTGAGAATTCAAATATATTTTTCACATCCTTAAGCGATTTCCAGTGAATTGACACCTTAACCATAGCTCTATCGCAAATAGTTCTTGAGTTACAGGGTTTTCAAAATTGGTGGATAGGTGACCCTAAATTTTGACCACCCTGTAGCATCTGACCAACTGGTCCGAGTAGGCTAAAATGTTAGATCTCCGAGTTTTCGGGCTTGAGAACTTTGTATGCCAAATTTCATGAAAATCGGAGAGGGTCGGCAAAAAAAATTTGCAAATTTGTTATGCGATTTTCCATGAAATGACCCATCCTTCAACGAAACGGTCAAAAATTAATAGGTGACAGTTTATGTGATGTGGCCACATTCATAAGATGCTGCTATTGTGAGCTATGCCTTTGTTTCTTCCATTTTATATGGAATCACATTATAGTAGCTCATAATTTTTGAAATTTAATAACTCAGTCCGTAGGCCACGAGGGCAAGTGAAATTTCACTGACGGTATTTAATAATTATGTACTACATTTGTGCCAATTTTGGTTAAAATCGGAGCGTATCACTTCGTGAATGTCCCTTGTTCACGCAGCATGCATCGTCTTGCAATTCTGTCTGAATTCAAGAATTCTAGCCCCCCCCCGGTGAGATTCTTCGAACATTGTCTTCCCAATTCCTCTTCATGGTCTTCCGCCAGCCATGTCTATCAGTCGCACTGTAGAAATGGCGTCAAACTTCGGGCGCGAATTCGTTCAAGAGACACTAGCGCTCTGCTCCAGGAAGCGCTGACGTTATTTCGAGGGCCAACCACCTGGGCATACACCGCCATTGCGGTTACCCTGCTTTCGCGCAGTGTCCAGTCTTCTTAGTATAAGGTCTTTGGTCCACCCTACAGAAGAAGGAAAACAATGGTAAAGAGTCTGCCAACTCAACATCCACATGGCCACGCCAAAGAACATGATGGATGGGCCATGCCCTGGAATGTGCTGTATTTAGGAGGTCAACTCCCAAGTTGTAGAATGTTTATTATCCATAATTTATTTTTTTTTGGGCAGGGATTACACCAGTACAGGCTTTGGACTGTTGATGGGAACGACTCCTCGATGACTTGGTAAGGAATTAAAGTATGTGGGACGAAATAATTAATGAAATAATTCAATGTTGGTCCGATGGTTGGTCCAGCTCAGGGCCGATGAAGCCTTTGCTTTTCCGAGTAGTTATGCCAATATAGGGCCAGATTGGTTGCTAGGGAGATTAAATTCTCCTTCGACATTGCAGCAACTTAAGTTTAACAGTCTTGAGACGTTATTGGAACTTGAGAAAACTTCACGACCTGCAGCGTCGATGCAACGTCCTTTTGCGACGTCCGAGCAGCGTCTCGGACATTTGCGCATTGAAACGACATCGGTCGTCAACGTTCTTAAAGCGTTTGCTGGAATCTTTTTTGCGTTACTTGTGCAACCATTCAGGAGTGACGTCGGTAGGAATTTTTCCTACCCGAAATCCGAATATAGGAAATTTCCGCACAAAATTCCAATAGGAAATGTCTCCTGAATCGCCCTCAACGAGATTGTACGAAACACAAGCTGCAGAATTGCGATTACGACTTTAAATTTTGCAATAATTGCGTGAACGGGCTGAGCTCTCTGTAGAATCACGGCAAGCGTCGGGCGTAACAGTGTGAGGGAAAAAAGGTCAAAATGAAAATGAAAAGAGGAAAAAAAATGCTCAGCACAGTCTCTGAATATGAATTCATTTTTGATGATCCGTGATTGAGTCGATCTCACCCCCCATGGGCGCAACTTGGGAGGTGGTGTCTTCCTGATGCGAACGGAGATTCCATTAATTTTATTTAATTTTAATTAAATTTTAACTCCTGAATGGGAAAAATTCAAGTCCTCTCCTCCAGTCCCTCATTTTGCATTCCTGACAGTTTTGCAGAAACCACAGTAGAAAATGCCTTGGGCTTGCAAGCTATTGATCAGGGCTGGCTCTGCCATTTAAATGTTTTCATGACTCTTCCGTTTTGCAAAAGCATATGAACAACTTGCAACATATGCAAAATAAATGCAAATCGAATGAAACGAGCAGACCATTTTAAAGCCCCAATTTATCAGAAAAAATTGTCACAAAGCTATTGAGGACATATCAAGGCAAGACGAATGGCAACGGTATGCAATTCAAAATAATTTCATGGAATGTGCTTCCAATACCCGTGCGAAAAGGGAACACGACTCAAATTAAGCAACATTAAGCAACCTTACTCTCGTGACATAACCTCGCTGCTAAAATTAAACTGAACTTTTAAAATGAATGATGTTGATCCCCTAGAGAAGATCCTTTGTGCGTGAGTTATCGCTATCAGAATTAAATTAGTATTCATTGATGGTTCCAGGAATTTTAATCTGACTGCTGATGCTTGCACTCAATAAATAAATAATACATATTTTTTTATTTATTTCAGGAAAAGGCTTTCTTTTCATAACATTGTTTATAATAATAGGGGAATGGAGTGATAGCACAAGGACCTTAAGGAAATACTCATGGGTAAGAGCTAAGGAGCAATATGTATCTTAAAAGCCAATACGCTGCCAATTACACGACCGACTCCTCGGACTCCAAGCCCTTGCTGTTGAACAAGTCCTTGACTTCTTCAACGCATGGAGAGAAATTGGCCAGCCAGGCGCGCATGTTCTCCATCACCTGCTTCTCGGTCTCGGGCCCTTCGCCGCCGTATGAGAGGGACTTGATCAGGCCCTTGCGGCTAGGCGCGATGCTGAAGAGCATCTGGGGGAAGGAAAGGGAGGGAAAATAGTGTGCGAGCTCAGTCACAAGAGGCACGAATAAATATTTAAAATAGATGCGGTGTAGCTCCGTTCCTCTCGTCACATTTATATTACCAGTTACTGCTATTCCCCGCAGAAAAGTCGTGGAATTAGAATTTCTCTGAAATCCAGCATGTCTTGTGGTGTCAGCTTTTCAAAGATTTTCTCTTGCCACCTAATGGCTATAAATTGCGGACAATGTCAACATTTCTCCCTTTCGGTAATGCTGGGTAGAGCGAGGCAGTGAGTGATACAAATTAAAGCTCAGTTTCAACAATGGAATGTTGAAACTTACACACGGTACAGAGAAGAGAGATTCCCACCAACCTCTGCAGAAACTACCATCATAGCTTGATGGGACATCTCGTCCGAAAGCCTAACGCACAACCGCCCGACACACACGAAGAACTGGATGTAGACAACCATACCATGATGGTGTTCTGGACGATCCACGCATGATGCCTCTCGATGGTTTCGCGGTAGGCCTTTCGTAGGATGTCCTGCGTCCCCTCCGACCTCACCCCGGTGTCGTAGTCCTCGAGTAAGTGGCGGAAGACAGCGGAGGTCAGCTCCAGCCCTCTGCCGGCGCGATCGCAAAATACAATCACTAATTTAGATCGTTAGCTTCATTTATTTTAAACTTGCGTCCTGCGGCTGCTACGCTGTCCGTCTGATGGACGGAAACGTGAAAATCATCAACGGATCCCTGAAATATGTCTAAGCCGAATATCTCAATGTTGTAATGCAATAAGTACAGAGATGGCCCAAGTGCTTTTTCATCTCAGATTGACCGCAGCTGGATCAAATGTCAACATTTTTAAACGTGAAAAGAAATTATAAAAAAGGATTTCATGGGCTTTCGAATGGCTTGTCAGGCTAGAAATTGCGACCAAAATTAATACGAAAGGTCATTAGGGTCAGATCAGAGGTCAACTCTAAAAGAAAATCTAAAATAAGTTGGACCATCTGCAAGAAATTACAAATCGTTCGCGGTATCGATAGCGGAAATCGGTTGAGTAACCACGGAGGAGTTCACCGGACAAATTCCGGTCACATATTTATATATCAATAGATTCACTAAAATGGGACTTTCTACAAGAAACACGCCAACAAAAATGGGTTTCCCGAAAAGATGTAAGCTCTACTTTGAATGGGGTTTTGTTAAGTCCATTTGGTTAAGCAGCCACTGGCAAACTCTGGAAATGTTCACAATTAAAGTTGGCTCGCTTGCCGAATCACCATATATTAAAATATGACTGTTAAAAGGTTAATGTGTAAAAGTTATGAAGATGATTACCGTTCACATTCGTCTCATGTATAATGTACATACTTTTGAGACTCCCAAAATAACTTCACTTTTAAGGCAAATTTCGTTCGAAGCATACCACAGCGGAATAAGAAGGGTTGGTGATTTCCTGCATGAGACTGGCTTTAAAAAACTTTAATTTAAAATACCTTTTGAGATGTAAAAGATGGTGCGTTCCTGGTCCCTCGATGCTTCCTTCAGACTCAACAAGGGACTTGAGCGTGGAATACTTCTCGCTGTGCTTTTCGTAGAGCTCTTTCAGGCGCTATACAAAGACACTTCGCAAAATGTAAATGCTCTGGAGGAATAGAAGGCGTGAATGGGGGCTGATGAAATTACTTACCTTTACATTCGTGTCTACATCATTCCGGGGAAAATAGAACAGCTTGCCCAAATGATCTGAAAGGAGATGAATGCAACCGAATCCGCTAATTTGAATTTCGCCTAATGGAATGCTAATTCTAAATTTTTCAAACAGTGAGATGGGTTTTGAAGAAGATGGCGGATCCTTTCACTTTCGCAATCAGTGCAATTTTGCTCCTGCATTCAATAGACAACAACCTCAGGCGTGATTTATTATTTGACCTACATATCTGATTACGTCTCCCCAAATCCAAACACTCTGAAGACTATAAGAATAAGTCCGTACTCCCGAATGGTTTAAAAAAAAAAACTTGGAAAAAGATGAAGGGAAAAAGGTACCGGAATGTAACATTGAATAAAACACTGCGTGAAAATACTGAGAAATATAACAGTCAGTTCCAAGTCTGAAAATTCTTAACCTTCAATTCCATACTCTCATCCACTTCAAAGGAAAAACTAAGAACTTCCGAAAGTTAGAAGAAGAAAGACAGACCCAGAAGGGTGACGACACCGGATGAAGCCTCGAGGAACTCCTTGGTCGGTAACTCCCATCGCTCAGCCGAGGTCGGGAAGGGGTGAGGGTAATCTGTGAACGAGTCTTTGTGCCCTCCACCTTCCATCTTCTCCTGCGGGGTTTTGCTCATCGCTCTTACCTGATGCACAGGGAAAATTGCGAAAAACACGTGACTTCATGATTCAATTCGGGCTGGGAGGGTTCAAGCTCGGTTAGTCTCAACTCAGTGGGACAAGGAGAACTGGGCTCTTTGAATCCGCTCCTGCTTTACGGAAATTGGCTAAAAGTATCGATTGTATCCCCATGACATTACGATTTTAAGAAATACAGCCTACCGGCCTGAAAAGAAACCTAGCACCATCGGACAAATTCGACATTGTTTTGGCGGAAAGGAATTCACATGGTGTCTATCTTAAGGTGTGCAGTGGTAGCCTTAACGTAACCTGAATTATTCTAATAATCCTCAAGGATGATGAACACAGCCAGGAACACCATAATCAGATAGAGGAGAAATTATGAAGCATTCTACGATTTAGGCTCCCCACATGGAAAAAAAAGCAAAATTAAAAACTATCACATGATTTTACAATGAGTTTAACAAAAACAATCCCAGCCAATGGTAAACCTGCCGTGGGCAAAGTGAGACTCGAAAGAACTCTGATGTACATTAACATTTATGAACTTAAGTATACTCTGATTAGCCACAACACATGGATGCTAGGCAAAAAGGGAGAAATTTGGGATGAAAGTCGTGAGATGGCGGGTAGCTGAGGATCTGCAATTGCATTGAATCTTGCGGAGTGTTATCAATGCTCGGTGAAACCCTTATGACTGTCTAATCCCTCCTCTCCTTCGAAGCGTAGGCATTCCGATGGACTGAGAGATTGAGACGGACGAGTAGACCGGAGATTTCGAAAGTATATTGAGAGTCCTCCATGCGCCTCACATTTAACACACGGGCCTTCACGGGGTTTCTTCACTTGCATCGCAGCGGAGAGAGAACTGAAGTGCGTCACTTTACAGGAGTCTTCCTATTCGACATATGTCGGTTCAGGGCAGTCATTCTCCGTTCTGAGTCATTGGGAAGGAATTGGAGAAAAAAAGACCCCCGCGAGATGGATGGGTGCATGACACTTGCTTTCAAGAGTCATCCCATACGCGATATGGTAACGCATCGCCAGACTGTGAGCGGCCACTTGCATGAATTACATCGCACTTCGCGATGCTCTTTGGTTTCTCTATTATCTCTCCCATTAAGTCTAATATGCACAGGGAAAATGCCTAGGTGCATCATAGGATTCGATCCGATCCAAATCAAGAATAACATTTTCACGGTAGAAAACTAAAGCATAGACTTGAAAGGGTCAACAGCATCCTCATTATCTCATAATCTCTCTAATCCTTTTTGTACGTAGTTCAAAGTGTTCTTGTCAGGCAACCTCTGGGTTGATCCTGACAGGCTCATGCCACAATGTTCAGTTTGCCCCCATGTACCGATCTTGGGTTCATATTTTTTTGTCATATCTTAACGGTCAAGGCAGTAATTCATCAGTCGAATTCTACATCTTTCTGGGCAAAGGAACCCACAAGAAGTTATTGTTGTATCGATCTAAGAAGAGCAGTGGCAGCCATGATGTCACCTGAATCATTCTACTAAACCTCAAGGTGAATGAATACGGCCGGAAACACTATAATCAGAGGTTGGAGAAATTATGAAGCACACTACTATTCAGGCTCCTCACATGTAAAGGAAAACAAAATAAAAAACTATCACATGATTTTACAGTAAGTTTAGCAACAAAAAAAAAACAATCCCAGCCAATGGTAAACCTGCCGTGAACTAGAAAAATGAGACCGTAAGGAACTCTGAAGTAAATTAACATATATGAACTTAAGTAGACGCTGATTAACCACAGCAAATGGATGCAAGGCAAAAAGGGGAATGTTTGTCATGAAAGTCGAGAGGTGACAGTCAGATGAGGATCAAAAATTGCATTGAATCTCGCAGAGTGACATCAATGCTCGGTGAAACACTTATGACCGTCAAATCTCTCCTCTCTTTCGAAGTGTAGATACGATTCCAATGGACTGAGAGATCAAGAGGGACGAGGTAGAGGGAAGATTTCGAAATAATATGGAGGATCCTTTGACAGGAGCTGTTGAAGGCTCTCCTTACTTGCATCGCAGCGGGGAGAGAAACGAAGGATGTCACTTTACGTTAGTTACCCGATTCGACGATGTCGGTTGAAGGCAGTCATTCTCCGCTCTGAGTCATTGGGAAGGAATTGGAGTAAAAAGACCCCTACGGGAAGGTCGGGTGGATGACGCTTGCTTCGTTCATGCATCCCATACGCAATCTAGTAATGCATCGCCTAGCTCTGAGCTGCCACTTGCATGAATTACATCGCGCTGGGCGATGCCCTTAGGCCTCTCTATCAACAGGTCTCTTTAAGTCAAATACGCACGTGATAATTCCCAGGTGCAACATAGGATTCGATCCGATGCAAGTCAAGAAAATATTTCACTGTCGAAAACTAAGGTAACTTCAAAGGGCTGACGGCATCGTCATTATCTTATAATCTCTCATATCCCTTTTGTACTTGGCCTGCTTGATCATATCGTTCCCGAAGCAATAACTTGCAGGATCTACTACCTCATGGGCTCATAAGCCCACCCATCCATATAAAGGGTGAGTCAAAAGTCTAGTCATATAGGGGATCACCATTTCTTGTTCAATATTTTCCATTCGTAACGAATGTGTAGGGGAGAGTGGGGTAATACTGAATGCCTAAGAAAAGCTTGTTTTGTATGCCAGGAAGTGATACGAGCCGTGCTTTAAATCAGTTTCTGTTTGTTAAAGAGTTGCAGTTTTGAGATCAGCGACAAACTCTTCTGCAACTAACAGGTGTTTTAAACAAAAGCGATGTTTTTCAAAAATGGCTTCTTTCGGGATTACCCCAATAGCTGGGGCAAATCCGGACGTTGCGAGAAAAAACTCTGAACAACGCCTCTAAACACAGAAAATTCAGTGCCTCAGTTCGATGCATTTTTCTCGCGAAAAAGTCTGTCCTGCATGTGATGCGTCTTTATCGCATCGAATTTTGGATGCGGTTATCGCATCACATGGAGGACAACTTTTTTCTCGACGAAAATGCATTAGATTCTGCATGTATAGGTCAGGTATATTATGCGCTTCTGCCACATTGAACATTTCGTGAGGAACTTCAGCCATATCGAAATTTGCCTTGCATGTCCTATTGTGGGAATATAATGGCTTTTGAGCTTAAAGCCCGAATACACGAACCTCATTCAGGGGAGACGACAGGGCTCATGTCCTATTGTGGGAATATAGTGGCTTTTGAGCTTAAAGCCCGAATACACGAACCTCATTCAGGGGAGACGACAGGGCTTTTAGCGAAGGAGCTCTTTTTTTCCCATAGGAATCCATGTATTCTTAAAGGACTGTTAAATATATATAGTTAACAGTCGGATCTCATATTGGCGATACGTGCTGCACCACCAACGTACCAAACGGAATACAAACACCGTACGAAATTGGACTCGAAGAATGAAGTAAGCGGTTACATGGGAATCCCTTCCAGACGCACGAGCTACTCGCACGGGTCGGAGGGAAGGTGAAGTGGCGATGAGGCCATGCACTCAGGCGGTTGAGTGTGAATCCCTCGGCTGTCAATGCATTGCCCCGAGGGTTCATTGGGGGGGGGGGGCTCGGCTATAGACGCATTTTGGTTTTGCGAACGCCTTTCAGGCGTAGTGGCGATGAGGCCATGCACTCAGGTGGTTGAGTGTGAATCCCTCGGCTGTCAATGCATTGCCCCGAGGGTTCATGGGGGGGGGGGGGGAGGGAGGGACGGAGGGCTTCCTCGGCACGATGAAGTGGAATACGGAGGTAAACATGCGTCTAGACGATGCGCAGCCACTCAAAACACCCTTCCGACTCGACTATAGACGCATTTTGGTTTTGCGAACGCCTTTCAGGCGGGAAGCGAGACATATAAATCGAAAATCCAGTTGATGTCTTTTTCTCTTGAGAAAAATAAATCGAAACGCGAAAATTGAGAGAAGTATTTTATCTCGATTTACCGATTTCTCTGAGTGTGCAAGAAACTATGATGCATTTCATCGTCAGGAGTAAAGTGAGAGCGAAACGTGAGAATATGAAGAAGTTTCTTGACTCGGCGCCACGTGGTTTCGCCATAAAATATATCAGAGTTCAATTTAGTGTGTTTTCAGTGGCCTATCCGTGGTTTTTGTGAACACTGTCATCAATGTAAAATATTTAATAACGCTTCCTTTGAAGTGCAACAACGATGTGCGATTGAATTTTGTGTTCGTCTTGGAATAGGCACCACTGATTAAGCAGATTTAAAGTGGCAAAAGTCCTGTTTAAAAAGAGGCCAGTGGCAAGTTGGTCACGATCCACGCTCTGGTCTGTATCAGCAACAGAATAAATTTGTGACAGAAATTTTTGAAGATTTGTGACAGTTTGAGCACGTTTGGAGGAAGTTCGTAGACAACCTACCTACCTGATGAATCGCCGATCGGCAATTTTTCTTTTTCGCTTTCTTTCAGAAATGCACAAACGGTTGCAAAGATTACATCTATTGCTGATGCTGACAGTCTTCAAGAGCGTGGATCATCACTAATTTGTCACTGGCCCATTTGGAAATGCACTCATGTACCTTAAAAACTGCAGACTCCGTGGGTCTCTTTCCCAGTCGAAAGCAAATTTGTATCCCAGCCTTATCCTCACGAATGCTGCTCGTTACTGGCTGTTCCCGTGTTAAGTCTGCGTGGTAAAACTTTTAATTTTCGTTCCGATTCGGGTAGGATCCCGAACGAATATTTCGAGCTAGATACCGATTTCGATTAGTGGGTTGGGTGAATCAACGCCGCCATTCAGTTTCCAGTGTTTCTGTTGTTCCCTTTGCTCTGACTGACCGCAGCCATTGTTTCCACATCAATGAATGCCTATTGGAAAACCAATACGTGAGACATTCTTAGGAAAAGGCTTTTTCCCTCCTCGAGTAGGTGAGGTACCCCTCGTCTACTTCTGGAAAAGATTAAAGAAAAAAGCGCCTTATGCACGAATAAATACGGTATAAGCTACTTGGGATGAAAGAACGGAGCATTGGATCGACTCATCGCCTTTCCCATTGCTTTCTCTCCGGCGGCACGGAGACTTTCTCCTCGGGTACACTCGTCTAAGCCTTTATTTCAAATTTAGAATTAATGATGGCAGAGACAAGCAAACAAATCACCCATACTGACTTTGCTTATTGCAGAACATGTTTATGGGAACCATGACGTTTGAAGTTTGACTTCGGGAATACTTACATCTAACTGCGGACGGGATGGCATCCTTTTGTGGGCCGTAGTTTGGGTATCTCTGACCGTCGAAAATTTTCACGATCATATGGCAGTTACCAAAGTGAAAATAATCTACATATACTAGTAGGTAGATTAGTTTCCAGTAGAAAATAATAGGCACCTGTCACGCATATTTCCAGAGAATTTTACATGACAGAGAGGTCAGCCAGATGTCAAACTATTCGAAGTAGTGGTTTGCCGAAAAATACCAAATCATAAAAAATTTATTTAATTGGAAAGTTAATTTAAAATTTCCAATTATGTCCAAAATGTCTCAAAATGCCTGTAAATGCCAGAAAATGCTCTAAAACGTGCAGAAGTCCTAGAATTTAGTATAACACAACGAATTAAAACACAATAGGTGAACCGAAACTTCGTGAAAAATACTCTAATGAAGAATAAGAGTAGAATCCAGAGCCTTTATACGTGTATACCCTTCTGATCATTTAATGTCATGTCTTGAGCTGGATTGCCGATCCAAAGGGGTTAACTATCTAGATTGCCCACGATATTCGTGGGCCTTCCTGCTAGTAAGGGCAGAATGTCCTGAAAGTCTTGATTCACAAGAGTTATCGCTACATCCACTAAATATGCTGAAAGTGCTTTCCCTCCTAGTCGATTCACAGTTGAAGACGCTGAAGCCAGTCCTGCAGGACTTTCCGAAAGAGGTTCACGAAATCGTGAATACCTTCGCGTAGAAGTTAGCGGATCTCCGTTGGCAATTGGCCCAGGAAAAAATGGAATTACACGATCACCTGAAAGTCCTCAAGTGTCAATATCTTTAAACAAAAACATTATTATTATGTAGGGTGGACTATAAATATTCATACCACATCTAACTTTTAATATTTCTGCATGGCCAAGAAAAGCTAAGAAAAAAAAAGTGGTATATATGAGTCGGGATTTTTTCTCGGTGACCAATCCTGGGTGCTCCAATAGGGCTCTTCCTGGTCACATGGCTTGAAGTTCAAAACTTGTCTAGCAGACCATGTAGCAGAAATGAACAGTAAACATGTATGACCCCCTTACAACTCTGACCGTAATCCAATAGATGTGGTACGTGGCGTTTTCTGGAAGTATGTATCCAAAAACGAAATCTAGCGACCTGGATCAATTAAGGCTGGAGCTGAAAGAAGTGGAAGAATAACCGTCCTGTGTAATCGACCAGTGAACTCGAAGATTGCAGGTTGCCATCAAGGACGCAGAAAATATTGACTAGTTACAATGAGTCTTCGTGTCTCGTTGAAATTCACTTCATTCTCTGAGAAATTATTAGTGCAAGACTTTGATTTGGTGGGAATATTTATGGCCCATCCTGTATTGTTTTAATCGCTCCCATTCACGAAAGTCGACTTGTAGAAACATGGGAACGATGTCAACGAGGGGATGATGGGTTGCTGCGATCGTTGCTTTGATGGCATTTTCCCCCCAGCACTTGCAAGGTATTAAAGTGGTGTTCCCCTCTCTCTTGAATCAATTCTCGCGAGAGGGATCTTGTTCCCACTCACTTTCTCCATTGCTCGTTGCCACGTTGACCACAAATTGATTTCAATCATCTTAAAAGTGTCAATTAAAAGTAAACAGATGCAGCAAAACAACTGCAACATTCGCATGGTTGCAATAAAATATTTTTCGAGTGGTCAACAAATACGTTGAGTTCTCGCCACTCTGTTATATCTCGCTCAATAGTTTTATATACATATGAACACTTCACAGCATCATATAAGAATGGTTTTCAAAACTTTCACAGGAGATTGCATTTTCAAACTAGTACGGATACCTTTGCAAACTTTGCGCACAGCCTGCAGATTTAGCGCAATGATATGATCAAATCCCTAATAAGCTTCTATGAGCACGCGCGAGGAGAAGGACCTCGAAAAAATAACTGTTTGCATTGAGTAGTTCATGGATAAGTCCGTTTCGTGGAAAAAACATACCAAGAAACCGTGACCAAGTTTTTTTTAGATCGAGTCAGATGAAGTTGCTCTCGTTTTATCGCCATTGACCATTTTAAATTTATACATCACATCTTCACATAGGGTAGGAACATCACAGTAAATCAACAGTAAGTTTCTTCAACAAGTCTAAGTCCCTGAAATTCATGGAGTGATCTTGTATAATTTAGTCAAAGCGGAGCCACACAGCAAGAAATCAGGAAAATCCATTAAAAGATTCACCTTTCGGGAAAGAATATATTTAAATGGAATGTAAAATACAAAACTCTCTTGACTGTCCTTCAAACAACCATTTAATTCCAAATCAGCGTGCAATATCAGAAGGGCGAGGAGGGAACGCACCTCTACCCAGAAAATCATTTCACAATAACCAACAATGGATAACATTGAATAATAATAATAATAATAAACCAAGTCTTTGGTAAATCGTGCAGCAGACACGAAGAGGAAAAACAGGTTTTGGCTGTGATGAGCAGGGGAGGAAACTGCACCAGTCTTTACTGCAAACTTTCCATAGGACCCATCTTCTTTACAAATTGCACTGCCTCATGGGGGTGGCAATCCTGTTTCAACTTCCTGCCCAGATACAAAAAATCATGGTAACCAGGAAAAATTCATGGTAATCACATCTGCAATCCCCCACTACATTACTCCTAAACTGGTCCTTGGGTTGAAACCATTTGCAATACTTCTCACTCCACTCTGGATGAGGCAAACTATTACTAGAGGGAAATCACTTTCACTAACCCAATAACTATGCAATGCTTGTCAATGACAGCATCTACACCTCAGAGCTATGAAAAAGAACCAGACAGGGAAGGAGATAGTGAAAACATCATTTGCTAAGGCAGTGCCATCAAAAAGACTTCTAAAATTGCACAATAGTAATCACCATCCACTTTCTGCATAATTTGCACTGTCTGATCAAAGTTTGTGCACAATGAAAGCTTCTCTGAATGTTTTGAGGCTCAAAAAGGATTTGGTGCTTGTTATAATTGGTGCAGCCATTACTAGAGATGAATGTTGTAGAATTGAAGAAATCAGCCTGAATGATTCCATTCCAATTCCAGCAAGGCTCTCTGTGGAATCATTTAAATTTCAATTGCAATTCCCCAATAGTTATTTCATACTGACACCTAAAAACTAGAATATCAATTTCAACTCCCCAATAGTCATTTTAGGGCAATTTTACCTAATTAAAATTCAATTCCAATTCCATGAAAAAAGCAAAGCAGGTCAGGTTCAACAGAGAGGTCTTGGTCAAAGAGTACTTCTACAGATGAATTGAAGGAGTAGGCTTAATTTGATATTTCTGTGGTCATACTTTCAACTAATGACTACTTCTAAAATATTGCGTTTCATAAAAGTCATTACGCAAAAGCATGCATTGTTGAAACTGGAACTGAGGTTTTATGGACAAAGTCCAACTCCATGCTAAGTCTGCACTAATGTGATTCCTGCATCCCAACTCCAAAGAAATATAGAATCATTCTGGAATAATTCCAATTCCACAACACTTCTGGAGACACAGGGCACAAAGTCAGCACAACGTTTGGGATATGTCAAATGAATATCAGGCATGCTGCATTATCCAAAATTATCAACAACTGGTTCAAGAAAAGGAGAAATATCTTAGTATAAAAAACCAATGGAAGTCCTTGGAAAGATAAAAGACATAGAAAGGACATGACAGGAGCAAATGGGTAACAAGGAATGAATTAAATGTGTGTGCACATAGGACCACTTATGTGACCAGCACATGGGAAAGATACAGGGGTACAAAGCAGTGACTGATTCAATGAAAGGTCAATTTCTTCAAATATCAGGAAATGGTCATCACAGTGCAGGTGAGAAGGGACCAATGTCCCCCTCTTTATAGATTTGTCTTTCTCTCTTTTTTTTGTTGGTCTCTCTCTTTTACCAAAGGATCACAAGATAATGAGAGGATGCTTGGGATCACCAAGAGAGCTTCAAAAATGGGGATAGAAATGGCAAACAGGCTGCTGCAAGCAGGAAAACAGCTGGGGCATTCAACAAAAGGGAAGCCTGGGTTCCCAAGGCAATGGGTGATCTGCTCTGCACACTGCACTTCTCTCCCCCACATGCACACTAGATCCCCTGAAAATGAGATATGTTCTTCATCAAATCCAGTTGTGACAACAATGAGACTCTTATAGAATGATCATGCATACCTGAGTCAAGCAAGTAAAATGCTGGGAAATAGAGGGGATCAATAAATTATTTCACGAATGAATGAACTTTCATAATTGGGTGGATGCTGACTTTTGACCATGGATGCCCTCTTCTAATCGTTCCCTCATCTGCAATTCCCATTCTTGGAAAGCCTAAACACACAAATGTAGTTCATGTTGTCTCAGCATATGGAACAGGTTCAAGCAGGCAATAACAAAACACTTCCTATTGAAAGAAGTGGGTGAAATAAAAGATGAGAAAGAAAAAGAATGCTCACTTGAGCCTTTTCATCATGAAACTGTCTTCTAATGGCTTCATGTTGCACCTCTAGCTCTTCCCTCTTCCTTTCGTAAGCTTCTCCCAACCGTTTTCGCTCATCCACAACCTGATCCACCATGCTGTTAGATACTTCTCTCTTCACTCTGTTAAGGACATTTCAAAGGGATATAAAAAGATAGTTCCCAAACATGACCTTGAACTGGGACAACATGACACCTGGCCAACTCATCCTTGTCCCTGTGCTTGACAGCCAGTGCCCGCATTTCCTGTCTCCTCTGCAGCTCTTTTTGCCGCATGAGAGTGGCAATATCACGATCTTGTAAATCTTTCAATTGTCGCAGCTGGCGGGCTTGAGAACTTTTCATGACCTTCTCCAGTGCTGCAAGCTCCTGAGAATCATGGAGGAAAATACATGTGACTTGCGAGCCTTACATAGGCACAATATAAAAGAAACCTTTTTCTTTCTTATCTAAGAAAACAAGGCTTCATACAGTCAACAATGTGGGCATTAGGGGCAACTCAGTAACACATTTGCTGCCGATCATGTAACTGAACTCTTGTTCAACGTATCAATTGCTCTGTTAGACAACAGATGGTCTTACCTATGGCTTCATCAACTCCTTCCAGGCTTCCAGCACAAGGTGCTTCATTTATAACTTTTAAAATTAAATGCAGCAAGAAGGGGGAAAGAAAACCATGTCCCCCGCTGGGTCATGTACAGGGATGGAAGGCCATGCAACATACTGAGATTTTGAATGATGGAATGCCATTATGCAAGAAAAAAGAAAACAGTAGAGATGTAAAAGTTTTATGAGCCTATCCTCATTTCATTTATCCTTTACAGCAAAAACAGAACAGTTGAAACTTCTTCAGCACTTCTTGGCCAAATTTGATGGAGAAGTTATGACTAAGTTCCAGCAAATGATGAGGAAAATAATGATAATGAGCAATGACAATATTTTCTTTCAATGATGCTTGGAAATGAACATGAAAATAATAATTAATGAAAAGAAAACTCAATTTCTTTTCTCCCTTCTCCCTTCCTTTACACAGCCTTCATATTTGCACAGCATTATTACCACTCTTTAGGATATAATGTACCTTCAGGTTATGCCATTTCCAAAACACCAACTTGTTTGTTATGTGCATGTGGTTATGTTTTGACTGGGATTGTTGGGACATGTAAGCATAAATATTGCTTAACTCAGCATCCCAATAGGTACTTATGTATCAAGTTTCACCTTTCTATCTCGGACCAATTCGATAGGACTAAAAAAAATTATTTAAAAACGCCATCCCCCAAAAGTGTGCCCCCAGGTCATGCATCTGAAATTTGACATTTTTCCTGAACTTTGTGTCTCAGTAGGTATGTCCATGCCAAGTTTCAGCTTTCCATGTCTCTCTGTTTGACTGAAGCAAATATAATACATTGAAAACATCTCCCCCCAAAACATGCCCCTGGGGCATGTACCTCCAAAGTCTGATTTTTTCTGAACTCTGCATCCAAAAAGGTACATGTGTACCAAGTTTCAGATTTCTAACTTCTCTAGAACATGGTTAGAATTAGTGTCAGTCAGTCACGATCGTCTATATATATTAGAAACAATTCTTTACATGCACTGGGCTATCTCACCTGTTCTTTATACTTCAAGAAGACTTCTTTCTCAGCATGAAACTGTTCTCTATAGAGTTGGTGAAGACTTTCAGGGGAGTCATCATCTCTTTCAACACTGGACTCATCCATGCTTGAAAAGCTGCCCCCTGATGGTTTCTTGCTCCTGCTAGTGAGACCCAAAAATGCTTCAGGTCACAAGATTGTTTTGTTGAAGGCCATCTCACAGCAGCATTTGTAAATGACATACATGACCCTTCCAGAGATTTTCTTAACCAAACTGGGTTGCTTGTTGATGATCCCTTGAGCCTTCAACTTCTCCTTTTCCCTATCCTTCTCATGCTTCTTCCTAACAGATGCCAATTTCTTCTCCAATTCAAGTCGTTTTTCAATCACTGACTTTTCACCTTTAAGCTTGCACAATGGCTCTGCCTCCATATTGGTTGTTTCTGAAAAGTGATGGGTTAAAGAATCACTTCATGCATTCGAATTCCTAGGTGAATTTGAAAAAATCAGTCATCACTGACAACTCACCAAGGAGAAATGGAGCACATGAGATCTCCACATCATCAGAACTGAGCCGAGGTGACAACTTAGTTGAATTCTGTCGCCCTAATGGAAATGGAAATATTATTTGAAAACTCATGGGGGAAAGGATATAGAGCAAAACAGCCATAGGTGCATAACAAAGCTTTACTGTTGAGGGGTGTGGAATGATGTGGACCTGGGGATCCATTCTCTGGCCCTTCATGAATGCTCTCAGTGAGACTTCCTTGTGGGGTAACTTGACCTCCCCCCCCTCCACTTTCTGCACTTGACCCTTGACATGGACTAGTTTGAGGGCTTCGCAGGACTGGAGGTACTGGCAATGGACTAGGACGTGGATTCTCCTGTGAACTTCGCACAATCGGGCCATCCTACAAAATGAAGTCAATTTTGTTTTCCAAGAATCAATTCTAGCAGGCCTTCTTTTCTTCAAAAAACAAGGCTGCATTCAGTCTGTGTGGCCACTTCTGCTGATTGACAATTCTAAAAAAAACATTGAATTTACAGTAGTGACATTTGGTATCCAGACATGTATGGGCAATATAAGATGGAAATCAATTTCACTGATGTAGGATCAGATTTTTTTGCATAAATAAAAACAATCCCTACTCATTCCCTCTCTGGCTAGTGTGAAGGAATATTCCTCTTTCCATTGGCAGAAGTCCCATTGTCAAATGGTAGCTTGTAATCCTCAAAGTTAAAGATGAAGTTCTGTAGCATTATGCTTAGTGGTACTGAAAGGGAGAATTCATAAAATGAGTCTGGAAATGGAATTAAAACAAGAGGAAAAATGGAAATCAGGTATATTTGGTTAGAAGAAAGTTATGTCCAACCCACTCATTCATAAACAATTTTAAAAGATTCATAGTAAAATAATAGATTTTGTATACTTCATCTGATGCACTTTGGTGGCACAAAACCTATGATAAAAAAAAGAAGATGCTGCTCATGCGTGCACTGAAAATGAGGAGTTATTCATGGTTCAAAGCAGACCAAGCCCATGTTTCTCAGAATTAAATACTGTGGGGATAGGAAGTGTAAAGACTTCAATTAAGGTAAAGCAACTCCTTGTACTCTCTCATGAAGGTCATGAAGACAAGCATTCCTCACATCAAGACTGTAATTTATTCTTCCAATTTTGTAAGTCAAACTTTTGCATTTGAGGATGGATGGATGTAGGGATGGACAGACATATGTTTAAAAAATTATTGAAAACTATGACTTTGAATGATGAAATGTGGCACAGTAGGAGGTCAACTAAGGTATTCAGGTAATTTTTACAATAATAATACAATTTAAGTTAAATAACACATTCTTGCTTAAAACTTTCCTTTTTCTAATTAAAATCAGTCAATTTCTTCATAGGGATTCTTATTCCAAAAAGATTCTTACAATCCATGGGAAACACAATGAGAACATTATCCAGGACCAAATATGGGTACCTATGATTCAAGGGTTAAGTCAAGTGCTCACACCAGAAGAGGTCATGTGTGATGAAAAGAGAGGCATAAGAGGCTGGTTGAATCCTAGCCTACTTTGTAAGGGGTTCCTAATCTCTTCTAATTTCCTCCTGCCATTGATGGTCTCTGATGGGATGCAATGTCCCTCTTTCTCTCTTCCCCCAGAAAGGATTATGTCAAAACAAATAATTTCACTCTGTGAATTGTTTTTATTGAGGTTTAGGGTGATTATAATGTCACTTGAAGGCTGTATTGGAGGCTCTAGCACAAAAAACTATGTAGTGCAACTCAGTGAAACTTAGGAAATGGTGTCACATCAGGGGAAAGCAGATATACCCTTGAATTATCATCAAGCCACTGACAGGCATTCTTTAATATTCATTTTCACTTTTTGTTTTTCTCTATCTATCTATTTCCATTTTCACATTCATTTCCTATTCCCCTTGCTCAGAATGCTATTTTTCTTTTTTCTTCTCTCTCATTTATTTGTCTTCCTTCTTAAACTGCAACCTGAATATGATGCTGAGTTTGAAAAGTTCATAAGTGTGCTGTGGTCAATTGTGATGGTTTTAGTATCATTTCATGCTTGCTTTTATTTTTCAATTTACTTCTCCATCTCACCTTAACAACCTTAATAAGAAAGGAATAAACTTAAACTTGAAACTAGTTCTTGTTCTAGAGTGCCACAAACCTCTCAAGTGACTTCATAATCACCCTGTGCATAGACACCCTTATTACAGGATATAAACCCCCAAAGCTTACTACAGCTGGAATCATATGGTCATTCTTTACTCACCTTACAAAATGGGATCAAGAGACCACTTATTATTCTTATTAGCTTTCTCCTTCATGCTTGCAGAGCAAAATGATTTTCATGCACTATTACTAGGCAAGTGTCAAGGATTTTCATATCTGAAGCAGAACAAGAATAACATCAAACTAAGATTCCAGACATTTCACAAATACTGGGAGCATTCATTTGTGACTCAATCTAACTGGGCGAGTCATGGCTCAGGACATGGCCTGCTTGGACATTTGACACAACTTTCTGAATGCATTAGGTCAGTGATGAGCAACCTATGGCACGCAGGCCACATGTGGCCCGTGAGGTCCTGGTGTGCGGCCTGCAAGCTTTGCCGATTGAAATTTTTCCCCCTCTCATCTGCCACCTGAAATAGAGCACATGTGCCCACTCAAGGATTCTGTTGCCCACTGCATGAGATATGGAAGCAAGAAATATCACATAAATGCTACATTTCCACTGCAAATATCCCCTCACTCTCTTCTTGGTCAGTGTATCGCTGCTTTCTGAGCAAGCGGCTTGCTTGGTATTTTTCCCAGTAAAAATATGGGAAAATTTTCAAAATTAGTTCTTTGCATATCATTAACATCTATTATTTTACTACCTGGTTTACAAATCTGGACTTAGGATTACTTTGGTACTCTGCAGGCATAAAGCCTGTAATTCAGTATTTAAAAAATGCATGCTGCCCACTGGGAACCTAAAAGGTTCACTTGCAGCCTGTAGTAGAAAAAAAGTTGCTCATCACTGCATTAGGCCATTTTTCCAGTATGGCATGGCATGGCATAGGTTTCCAAGTTCCAAATTGCTCATCTGAGTAGTACCACCAACAGAGGTAACTGAAAATGGAAAATAAAGTGGTACAGAATGGTTAAAATTATCACACTAGGATGTTCATGATACAAGACTTTGGAGACAAAGCCTGATTTCATATGAAACACTAAAACTTCCCTCAAATATCATATTTTGGGTGATTCAGCATAACCACTTACTCAGTACATCATGGTGCCACTCTAGGATAACAGTCACCTCACCTAACAATGAAAACTGTTCAATATGAAATTTATATCTCCTTGAAATTGAGAGGGCAAATTCAGAAGACTAAAATTCATGGATGCTAAGCCCAAGAAAGCAAAAACCATCACAATATCCGCTTGGTTATTCACAATTCCATTAGCATGTTTCCCAGTTCTGGGTACATACACTTGCTGCTGGAAGTCTTCCATGGTAGATGCCATGCTTGTGAAGATGACTATTTCTGTGATCAGGTCATAGTCCATAACTTGGATCAGGTTTCTGTGTCATCCCCCAATGCATTCAGTGCTTCATGCCATGACTCAAGTCAAAGCCCAGGTAACAAATGAATGCACCCACTGTATAGCTCATCTCATTGGGAGGAATACCCAATGCTTCTTCCATGGTGTAAGCAAGGGCCTTCTTGCTTAGGCAAAATTTTTGGGAAGGGAGAATGGATTCAAATGGAGAAAAGTCTATTTCTGAGCATTTCTTGCATGTTAACCATGTAAAATTATCACCTACATGCCATGAGGAGTAAATCCAATCCACTCAGATATATTCAGGAGACCTTTTCTCCTAAGACAAGCCATCGTTGACTGACATTTTTGAACAGGCCTGGCCCATTTTGTTTACTATCATTTATGACACCAGAGTCCTGCGATGCAATGCACAAAAAATAACCTAGATGCTGAAGTTTCTTTAACCTGTGGTTGATGATCTCCTGTAGCACCATCTTCATCAGTGAGGACCCGCAACTGCAGTTCCCTCTTCTCCAAGTCTGACTGATATTTGATGGGATTTGCTAGGGCCTCAGCAAAGTCACTCAGTGTGTCTGGCACATAATCAGAGACCCGCAATCGCACAAATAAAGTTGCAAGTCCTTGAGGTTGTCCTGACTCATTGCGAAGTGCTATGTGTCGTAAACCAGGTCTTAGTCCAACCACAGGCAACACTCGATTCCCCAGCAGTTTCCCCGATTCATCAAACACCGCAAAGCGTAACACAGCCAATTCGGGTAGCACAACCTGTTCGATATGAAATGAATTTTTTTCAGTACTCATAATGCGTCATTACCAGTACTGAAAATGGAAGCTGTGCACAGGCCTATACCTTTTTGAAGATGAAGGGTTCTTCATCATAAAAGGGATTGATCCCATTGTTGGGAATGACCTTGGTTCGAAACCTCCTCTTGACAGTGTCAGCAGGGAGACCATACATATCCACTTCCACATATGTACTGACCTTCTTGTCCGAAAGGAACTGCCCTGATATGACCTGATATGACAGATTGGTATCTCATTCATGGTACTCTGTTGAATGAGAGATGTGAGAAGCAGATCCTCACCTGCACGCTCACAGAGCCTGCAATGATACCATCCACAGTTGATTCTGCAAATGGATCAAACTTGCGATCCCAACGCCTCATGAAATCTGGTTTCAACAGGAAACCACACCGGCAATTGAATTCAAAGATACCCATGTTCAACTGCATGGCCAAATCTGATGAAGAAAAATATAAATTTCATGTAAACTTCTTCCACCAGACCAATCCATTCAGGATTTCAAGTAAGGATCAGAGACAAAAGAACAATAGATAATTCTAACCCAAGGTCTGGAAGTTCAGAGCCACCATTTGGCAACCAGCATTCCAGAACACTTGAGGCATGAAGTTGGAAGAATCCACCCGTGTTCCTTTGGGGTAGACTCGACTCAATTGTCTTTTGTTGTAGTTGACAAACTCAACTGGATGTTCCTTTAGAAGGGAGGTAGCCTGAGTCTCAACAAAGGATGACATCTCATAGTAACGAGTCCTCTCTGCAATGTCACAAGCAAATTGAAGCTCAAGAAATTGTAGGAACCATGGGCACACATTCACAAGTTTCCATTGAACTCACTCTCTGCAACTTCAAAAGAATGAAAATGCACAGGCTGGATGTAATTGACCAATGCAGAAATCTCCGCACCAGCTTCAGATTCCTCTCCTGCAGTTCCCTGAAGAATGACAATTAATGGGAAAAAGGAATCATGAATTCTGCAACAGGTGGATGTCAATGGGACTAATGAAAACCAGTACAGCAATACATTAAAAAATGTGAATCTTTCTCACAAGTACTGGTAGGAAAGAGAGGCTCACTTTGTCTTTCTTTGCCTTTTCATCAAATTCATCTTCTTCATCATCATCACTATCAGAGTCATCATCATCCTCCACCTCTCCATTGGCTAGGCTTTCTGTGTTGTCATCTGAGCTATCCTTGCTAAGATCTTTCTCCAGCCTGGGCCTATGACATTGAAGCAAGGTAGATATAACATCTTCTGGCATGGTATACTCACAAATTTTTTAATAACTGAAAGTGATTGCAATGGCACCAAAGTTTCACCTCCCATTCAATCTCCTGGGTTCCTGTACCTGATTACATCCAAAAAACAAAAACTGGACTCCTTGTACCATTGCTTAGAAAACTCTCTACAAAAAAATAAGGACCCTCTCTTGGACCAGAATAAGAAACCTATGTAAAAAAAAAACCTCAACAGGAGCTTAACTTCAGGAGACCTAAAATGAAGGAAATTTGATGCATGAATACAATGTTTATAGAATGCATGGCACTGGGCATAGCAGTCTCAACTTATAGTAAGAGTCTTCTTAGCTCCCTCTGCCCAGGAGAAAGACCCTAATACCAGGAACTCCTGGTCTACCTGTCTCATTCAATACACCTCTGAGGAAGTGCTAAATATAACATTAAAAATTTGAAATTTGCAAAAATTCTTTGTAAATTTCCATTCAATTTTGAGAAATAATTCTCCCTTCAGAATTCTCATGAGATGTTATGCAAAAGCAAAGAGAGACCATTGCAACACTGATTGAAAGCATATGAAATTAATAACATAATGCAGAGGCTAGTAGGCCTACTGACTTGACAGTGTCATCCATGGCTGAATCTTGGTCATTTGATGCAGTGGGGGAAAGAGTGGTTTGTTCTTGAGAGGCAGCAGGTGCATTTCGGGAGCGTTTTCCACCCCGATGGTAATGCTTTTTCTTATTCTTGATTATTATTTTTCGAATGAGATCCTTTGGAGAAGGTAGGGGCAGTCCTGGGCCCAGCTAGGGGGGAATATCAGTCATGATAACCTCATTCTCATCTTCCAAATATCTTAAATTTATGGGTTAGTCTGACTTCTGTGGTATCAAGTAATATAGGCTTAGGAGATTAACTCACTTATATCATTGCCTTATAACAAAGAATGCAACACAAACACCTTTTATTACAGTCTCAAATATATGCTGATGTCCAAGGATAGAGGATACCACAATTCTACTTTTATGTTATGGTTCTTCAACAACAAAGGAGTTCGATTTGAATACATTCAGCTCAATATATTAGAATACCACTTAATGGAACACCAATTGTGAGGTCCCAATATTTTAGTCAAAATATACATTATTAAAAACATTACATGAAGGAATATGATTATTAGAATAACACATCTAAGCTTTTGCAGAGCATGGTCCACCAGCAGTATATCCATAATTGAAAAACTCGCTTGCCAAAGCATTAAAGGAACAACTTTCCAAAGAGATGGAATACATTCTTTTAAATCATTGAAAAACAAAATGTTTATTTTCCATTTTTCATATTCACAGATAGCCCCACCCTCACCCCAAAGAACCAAGGTCATGAGCAGCTACAGCTGCCACTTGACTTTTTTTTTAAAGTGCTATGTGAAAGTGAAAAAAGAAATAGAGGAATTTAAAAAAATTGAAATATTATGAAATGTGCACAAGAAAATACAATGCATAAAAGGGAGAAAAAGGAGAAAAATTTCAATAGACTGTTAATACTACTAGTGCAAAAAGAATTTTAAAAAATGAAAAAATGTAATAAAAAAACTGGTACTATACTATGTCATTTAAAAAATTGTTTGACAGGAATATTCATTATGCAGATTTGACTGTATATTGTATTTGCACTTCAGGCTACCTGAGTTGTGACTTACTAGTTTGTGAGAAATAGTCATCAGTTTGCAATAACTTTTCCATGAAAGATGCATCAACTGGAATTAAGCAAATTAAACTCATTCCATAGCTATGTCTGACTCACAGGGTGGTCCTCAAGTGGTTTGTCTAGAAGACTGGACCCAAAAGCTTCCCGACAATACTGTGCAATTTTGGCTTGTTGCTTATTATTGCAGTGATTTTCAAAGCTGAGGATCACTGGGAATTCTGAGGTCTTGAAAGCTGTCTCGGCAATAGCCTCTATCACATCTTTGGCAGGAATCTCTGGAACAAGGGTGTAACCATGAACAATGACTGGCTCCTCTGTCCTTCCATTCCAGAAATCCAGCTCCACACATCGACAGCCAGCTAGAAGACACTGCCGATACATCTCCACTGCTGCCTTTCCTGTCAACTGGTGACCTAAAAAAAGCCAATATATATTGGTATATCAGCTCCAGGAATGGGATATGGATGAAAACAAAAGGCATTGTTGAATGAACAAAAGGGTGGAATGAGATTGAGGTTCTTTCATTGGTTTCTCAAAGAACAAGAGGGTTCCCAGGTGGATTGATAGAAGTAATCCAGTGAGGAAGAGTGGCATTAAGGTAAGAAGGGAGAAGGTACTGTAGATGAAGGGGTGTGTCTCTACCTAAAAGTCATTCCCTTGCTAATCCCCCATTACCTTGAGAGCAATCCCCACGGACTAACATGCATCTCTACTACTGTAATACTATTCCCTTTCCCAGCCTACCTCCTCTCACCTGATACCCCACCTACTCCTCCAATGCCTCTCCATTAGGAAAGTCCCCTTCATCAGTCATTTAGACATCCCCAACAACTTTTGCTGTCCCAAGGCTCTTCCCAGTCTGTTATCCCTATGCACCAGAATGCCCTATATTGGTTGAAAGCTTTCATATGTATAGGAATAAAAATAAAAGGAGACAAAATTGGGCTCCTGTGATGCATGACCTCTCCTCCTTTGTTGTACACATTCATATGAGGATGCAAATCATTTATTTACCAGTGATGGGGCAATATCAAGGGGTATGAACTTTCATCGTTTGTCAAGACTTTTGATAGTCTCTGTTTATATATGTTATGCCTGATTCGTGCAACTGCGTATTGCGAGCATTGTGCAACGTTTTTGCATGAAAAATGCAACCGTAGTGCTCAGTGCATTGACTGAGCAATTTTCTTGCAAAATGCTGCTGATTGCACGCCTTGAACAATCACCAAATTGATTTCATACGCTGTCAATTACATTGAAAACAGGTGACAATTTTTTCGAAATTGTCATAAGGAATTAATGACCATTTGACAATACCATCAACGAAACTATATTCAGTTGTGATTCGGGCAGGTATTACCAGAATGGCATGAGCTCTCGCATCTAATCCCAACTTTCTTACAAGAGCATCTTGAGGTTTGGCCCCTGGCCTTACATTGACATTTTCTGAAGCCCAGCCTCCCGCCTATTGAGATGGCAGTAACGATTTTGCAACGGCTTCTTCTTGGTGTTGATGCCTTGAAATTTTACGATCTTCGCTTTTACCGATTCCACCGCGTTACTTTCCATACACATGTTAAATGTCCATCTCTTGCTCCGATCTTGTGCTTCCCGTCCTTCCTTTCCAAAACCGATCCAGTTATGTTTGGGGGATCAGTTCGGTCTCGATCAAATTCAGCGACATGAGGTTCATCGCCGCTCCATTGTAAGGGGAGCGGCGGCTGCCTGGCTGTCTTATTACGCCCATAAACTGTTTAAACCCCAGCTCAGCGTCCACGCGAGCTGTGCCACGATTGAGAGAAAACTTTAAGCTTTACAGGAGAGAAGAATGGGTACATCTCATTGATTCGAAAAACTTCCTCCTCGGAACTTCCCTTACTTATTGTGTGAAAAAAGCAAGCAGAATGCGCGCAAAAGGCAATGTATTTTCTCATTTCATGAAATGCGCAATCATGCCGTTTTTTGCTCGCATCCAGCAAAAACTTGCGCAATGCGCGCAATGAGCAGTTGCACGAATCACACATAACATATATATTACAAGGTGTATCCAAGTATAAAAATTACAGGTATTGTAACTACTGTAACTATGTAACTAGCAACTATACAGGGCATCACAGAAAAATGTGCATAAAAATTTAACATTTAATGTGCATATCAATTTACTTGCAAATTGGCACCCTGGCTGACAATGGAACAATGCCACTTTGTGGCATCATATGTAAGTATTAACGCAACAAAGACAAATTATTCGTTGAATCATAACACCTGCATCTCTAGTTCATATTACAGTAATAGTTGGTAATAAAAAATTGTCCCCATTTTTCTGGGAAACTCCTGCATTGTCATCTGTAAGTAAAATTTGGATCTGGATTATCATTTTTCAGGGCTACTCATGCAAAGAAAGATGCCTACTAGATATGCAAAGGCTCATTTCCTTGGAATGAATCTGATAATAGAGAGAGGCCCGGCTTAGGGGTGGAAGAAGACATTGACAAAGAGAAGACACATCACCTTCCTTAGGCTTGAAACCAGCCATCCATTCATCCATTATTCAATGAGACCCTGAGAGAAAGGGAGAGGAAAAAGCAGCATCCTAATGGGAAAAAGAGGTAGGCTGTGGCCTAGGCTTTACTCTCATTCTCACTCATTCCATTTCCCATGTCATTTCTTTCATGAAAGCAGACTTGCGGGAATGCCCCATTGCACTTCATAGTCTTGGAAAATGAGATTCCTCCAAGGCAATATCATTAATTAATACGCAAAGGCCCGACTTTACAAGATGAATTATAGCACCGAAATCTCACCAGTGAGGTAAGTATTATGGGATGAATTGAGGAAATAATGCGGTAAGGGTTGGCTCATGTCATCACTGAGATCCAACTTCTCTGGGGATATGATAGCATTATCATCTCCCATCAGGTACCGTAGAAATCCTTCCACTGTCAACTGTCCTGAAGGGAAACAGAAAAATTCATGGTCTGAGATGCAATTTGAAAAAGGTTATATTAGATGCATTCCTTGTCCCTTCATTGAGATTCATAGATAGTGTCAAGGCTGACAACCCCCGGAGAAGGGGCCCAAACATATGATGCTGTATGAGGTGAAGGAAATACCTCATCCTCCCCTCCCCCCAAAAAAATGAAAAAAAATTCTAGAAATACTCAAGACACTTTCTAGCCATCTTGCACAATATGGGAGAGCTGAATAACAAGAGGAGTACTAGTCAGAGAAGAAACAAATGAGACCCTTGGAAAGAGATGGATGGGGGGGGGGGAGAGTAATACAGTAGATGAGATGGCACGGCATATGATCCAGAACAGAGTTGCCATTGCCAGATGGGCTATAATAACGAACGAAGGGAGGGGGGGGGGGGGGAAGAGAAAGGCGTTGAGCAAACATCCATTAATTTCATAAGCCACTTCCACAATGGTGTCCAAGGGTCTTTGTCTTTCTCTACTACTACTCTCCCACTCACGTGGGAACTCATTCATTTTCACTTGTCACCTGTTGTCTTCTTCTCACCCTTGTTATCGGAAGCTATGGATATTTCCCAGTCATCAACAGGAAGTATAGATATGTACCTTTCTGAGCAGAATATCTGTTGGGTTCATAGAGATTGATGAGTTCCCTGGCCCTTGCAAGCGTGGCATAGGGGTAGAGAATCTCATTGAGCCGAGGATCTCTCTGGTGCTGATTGAGGAAGCTCACTACCTGCTCCGTCGTCAGGTATTTCTTTCTGTTCCCCTCACACCTGCGGCGTGCATCCAATCAAGACATCAACTCATCCCAGCCAAAAGTAAAGAAAAAAAAACATGGAGGAAAGAACGAAATAAAATGAGGAACCGTTGCCACTTACAGTTCCTCGAAAATCCTCTCCACTTCCTTCCTGGCTGTGAGATTGCGGTAGAAGTTGAAGAAATCATCGAAGGAGAACTTGCTCAACGGGATGGACTCGTCCTATTTTAGAAAGGAAATAGGAGTTTCTCTTTGCCTTCCTGGTTCAAAGGGAATGACAACCATATATTTATATATATGCATGGAGGGGGGGGGGGAGAGAGAGAGAGAGAGAGGGCGGGGGATGGATCGATGTGAGGAAAGATGGACTTGTCAGAGACAGGTCGGTGGGAAATGAATATGAAATCCAACTCTTTCCTTCTCCAATCCAACCGTTCAGTCATGCATTCCTGGAATGATCAGGGGATACGGATTGAGAAGAGGGCAAGCAAATTACTTACTCTCCCTGCGGGAAATCCGGCGAGATCCAGTGCCTTTTCCACCCTTTTCCGATCATCTCGATGACAGCTCAGCGTTTTCACCAAGCTAGGCATTGAAAGAAGAGGGAAGACTAGAGAAATCAGCTTAGGATTCAACCGAGAGCCATTTGCATGTATGACGAGCGAGGTGGGATTCATCAAGGCAAGAAAGCCAGCCGTGTCATCTGGATGCAAATCGAAGTGTCAGGGAGGACATTAAGAGGTCGACACGAGTCTATCTCTATCCATCTCGATCGCGGCTAGAGGAAATTACACACTCCCACTCCCACGAACATGACTCAATTCCCATCTTGGATGGAACGTTATTTAAGGGCGAATGAATTGCCCGGAGGCCTCACTGGTATCCTGCAGCTTTGCAAGTCCCATCGCTTCCTTTTCTGACACAATTGGGTCAGGCTTTCATGCAAATCCTCCCGTTTTCGAAACCCACCCCCCGTCAAGAACCACGTCAGGCGAGCGGGAGAGAAAGACGGAAATTCTTGATTAACAAGAACAACGAAGGGATGGAGAGAGAACAGAACACTCTCAGTATAATCTGATTACGTCTTCCCCTTGGCTTCGTCTCTCGAGAACTGATGATGATGAGAGTTTCATTGTACATTCTCTACGGGTTCTGAAGCAAGACCATGGGTATAGAGCAAGAGTATACAAATCATCTTCAACCATGAAAGTGGAACACGGGAAGTAGTTTTGGAACGAGGAGAGTGATTAGAGTGAGGCCGGTTATATTGCTCTAGTCCTGGTTGGATATTTGTTCCACGAGGGAGATACGAGGCAGAGGAAGACAGTGATAAGGATTAAGCTAAGAAGAAACGAGCGCAGCCGCAGCTGTTATTTCCTTTATCCAGAGTAGCAGTGCATACTGTGTAAATTTCGCGAAAGTTTACGTATTTGACTAGCTTACATTTTTCGCGATCTGGACCATCCTATATACAGAGTAGTAACAAAGTCTCGCGCAGAGTACTTCATGATTCTTCACGCCACGCGAAATTAAAAACGGGTGCGAAATCTTGTCGCTGCGCTGTATTTTTCTTTCTCTCTTGTGAGAGAACGAGGAAGGACCACCCAAGTGTCCAGGCATAAAGATGCCGCCAGGAGCCTCACGTCTTCTCATCAGGAACACACGAGATCATGTATCATTCATCTCTGCCTATTTCGTTCAGACAGACAAGGAAAAAAAAGGCGAGAGGCAAAAACCAGTACGATCTTACGTCTCTATTGTCAAGGAATCCATGACGAAGCGAGTCCTTACCACAAGGGCAAGGCACATCACGAATATTAAAAAAAAAGTACATGATTCATGAAGGGAATAAGGGAGGGTGGAACGATTTGAAGGGATTAACTGCCTCTGGAGAACGGGATGATTTCGTCGGGAAAAGAGAATACAGATCCATTACTCATCCGCCATTTCTGTCTCTTACTTCATACTGAAGACCGAAAGGGAAAGAAATCGATTCATTGCTCCTACTGGGCCAGCTTCAATACCACGCATGCGATTTTGTTGCAGTTCCTCAGGTTCATTGACGCCATAATCAGGATAAGGCGGCGGCTAATGATGCATCACAGAACTCGGCCATTAGTAAGACGAGAAACGATTCCCGGTCGTGGGACGAGAAACGACAATAAGGAGAAAAAGAAGTCGTGGGGAACAGAGTGTAACAGGGGAGTGAAAGAGAGCGAAAACGAAGGCCAAGGCGAAACGAAGGCTTCAAGCCAATGGACGCAGTTGGCCCTTTTTCGTTCGAGAATGTTGTTTACATCCCATCATACAGATCCAGACACAAAATTAGAGAGACATACGCACAGTGAGACGGCCAGCCAGACAGACAAACTGACAGAAAATTCCAGTATTGGAATGGTCTAGCACACTCGGAGCGGACTCAAAGGCATAATAGCCCAGAAGGCGGGCGTGAATCGCCAAATTCAATCGAAATTTCTCCATGGCATCAAAAAGAAAAAAAAAAGATCACTTGACCGAAGCTGTGGAAAGAGTAAAGAATATAAATAAACCTGGGGTCCTTTCTGTGTTTACATGAGGAGGGATTCCATTGTGTTCACAATCAGACGTGAGGGCAAAGTGTTGAAAGTGCACTGTAGCGCGATGGGATGAAAAAAAAATTATTTCTCTCATTTGATCGATGTGATCCAGTCTGTCAGAAAAGAATGCCTTCCCCCACCTGATGAAGGCTGGCAGGTGTAGAGACGTGGGAAGGAGGGGGGAATCAATAGCAGAGTAGGCGATTGAAAGTGACGAAGGTGAAGAAGAAAATTTTGCACGACATTAAATTGCATCTTCTCTCGCCTCCAAAGCAGACGAGACTGTCACACAGGGTTTTCATTCCCATACGAAAGGAGGGGGATTTGCATGACATTGCCTCAACACGGCCTGATTCCTTCAGTCTCAAAAGGAGACTTTCCCACGGACTGTCGGACCCTGACGAACGAGTTCCCTTCTTTTTATAATAAAGGGAACCGAAGCTAATGGCAAAGATCGATCAATCCCAGCAAGCCGGTCTCTGTGCAATCAATCGAGAATCGGGTGTCGAGGCAGTGGGGGATCCAGAATCATTGATTTAGGGCAGGCGGGGGGGGTTGTCAATTGAACTCGATCAGTCCCTCTTCATCCGTAAATATCTATACTACTTATATTTCAGAGTATTTGTTTGTGTCTGTCCTTTATGCACGGCCACGCCTCTGATCCCAGTCCAACCAAACTTTGCATGGCTTCCTCATTTGGTCCGGGGATGGTCATAGGCTAGGTGGCGTTTCAAAATTCGGATTCCCCGGGGTACCTTAGCGAGTTTTTTTGCCCGAAGGGCTGGGCAAACAAACGCGCTAGTTCGTCATATGGGTAAGGTTTAGAGCAGTGGTTCCCAATCTTTTTTATTTGCAGCACACCTAAGAACACTTGCATTTTCCGCGGCACACCCAGCCATTAACCTACTTTCAATAGCAAACTTTTGTTTACTTCGCTGAACACAGCAATTTGATACGAGGTGGAATTGTTGATAGTGCAACACTCATTTTCCACCAAGAGAAGGCGTTCCTTCTAATTGTTCTTTATTGTTGTCAGTGCCAGAATGAGTAAAGAATGGATTTGTGTGCGCGCGGCCTCTGTTGGAGACCTTCAAGGGGAAGAACCAGGAGACCCTAGGAATCTCACAAGGGGAGAAAACGTCTCACAAAGCAAACAGCTACAGTATATGAATACGTCAAGCTGCTAATGGATCTGGCATCAAGGATATGTTCTATGTCCATGCCAGGACCATACAGGCTGTGAATTGAAGAAACATAAAATAAGTGGTGTATATTTTTTAATCAAAAGAAAAGGTACGCTCCTAAATCTGATACACATGACTTCTTGCCACATTAGTAGTTCTTCGTGTAATTGTCCAGAGTGGGACAGCCACGAGCTGATGATTCGATGAATTCTACATCAGTTAAATTTTACTGTCACAGATCATGTTTTTTGCAAAATCGGTATAAAAAAATCTCTATTGCTCATTACAAGTTGTTATTGTTCCGCAGACTGAAAAGAGAGCAAAGATACTTTCATTAAACCAGTACTGTAAATAATTGTACGTTAAGGTAAAATTCATGCTTTGAAACACGAACCCTGGTTGCTGACGCAATATCAATAACTCAACAATGAAAACAGACTGACAAGGGGCCGTATTGAGTGAGAGCGACCCCAAACAAAAACGACTCCTCCTTCGCCCCGAGTTTTAGCTGTCGCATAAGGACGATCTCGTTTCATTACTTTTTTTCGTCCGTCTGTAACAGTGACACCTCAAGTGCGGCCTAGGAGAAAACTGGGAAAAACATTTTCTATTAATTTTATTATTTTTTCATTAGTTTTATTAAGAAGCAACCTCCAGTAAGACTGAGAATGTACCCTGAAAAGACTTTGCTCTTGGATGCGACACTCATGCATCGCATCCAAGAGAAAACTTTTATTTCTTCCCTGATAACGGTGTGGCATTATAATAACTTCTAAAGTTTTCAGCCGTCATTCACTCGCAAATTGAGGAAAACAGAGAAGAATCAGTGGAGTTCTTGGGAGATTACTGGACCAAACCAGTGAAAAAGTGAAGAAAATTAATTTTCTGTCGGTGCTGCTGTTCAAAATGAAGAAATGACTGAAAAAAAAACATTCATTTTCTACCACCATCCTGCAAAGTTTCAACTTAGTAAAGTCAACGAAATTTTCCCTTTGGGTAATCGGTACGTTACGCCTCTTTTGTGAATGGCTTTGAATAGATAGCTCTGAATTGAAGGCGCACGCACACCTACAGAACAACACACCTGAAAGGGTTTTAAGAAAAAGAAAACAAAGGGATGGTCGCCCTTCTCTACCAGAGTGGAAACGACACCACTGGGGGATTACAAAAGAAGGATGTGATCCAATCTAAGTTGTTGCTAGCCCTCATTTCAGTCAGCTTGTTGTTACAAGGGATGATGGATTTCTTTCTTTCCTCGCGTGCGAATTAGGCCTACACCTGGGCCTGTGCGGGATCCAAAAAAAAAAAATGGGGGGGGGGGATGAATATGGCATGGCATGAATACGACTAGCCCAGCAGCCGCAGGCATGTGTGCATGTGGGAGAAAGAGAAAGAAGGTCTCGGGTCTCGCAGCGATGGAATTGGCACATGCGGCTCCAAAGTCCATTGTGCTCTTGCACGTACCGGTATAATACAATCCATTCAATCTGTAACAAGTAAAGCTTCGGCATGTGTAACATACCACTCTACTCCTTCACATAGTTTTCCAAGTCCAGAAGTAAATCTTTCAGACTCATTTTATTCCCATTCCATATCTCCCCTATGATTAATGTCACGTTTCCGCGAAAAATCCTTCCCTTGGCCTGCTCAATCTATTCATAAAGCAAGTAGCGCTGGTAAGCAAATGAAATTACGCTCAGGATTACACAGAGCAAAGCACGGAGGCGCAACATCGTTACTGAAAACTCGAGACACCGCGGAGATGAGGCCTAACGAAAACTTGCCACATCCAATCGACTTCGATCGTATATTCATTGTCACATTCGCTGAACTTTGAAGAACAACACAACAAAGCAATCTAAAACGGTCGGTCGACGCGGAAGAAAGCAATCAACACTTTCCAATGGCATCTTCAATGTTCTGATCGTACACGTGTTTACGCTTTGTAATGATAGAGGGCCGGGTTGCTGAGGATCCATCAGCGCAGTCCTTGGTCTGACAGCTGGATGAGAAGGTAGATGAAGAACACAACCAAGCCGAAAATAAAGATAGGGTTCACATCCGTCTTCAGCTGTTGGACGGATTGATCGCACTTCATGCGTTCACGCGATGAGCCGGTCGGTACATCTCAAATCAAAAGGAATTCAGGTTCTACAATAACCTCTTCATCGGTCGTTTGCAACGTTCTCTCGGGATCGAAGTTGATTCTTTGTAAGAAGTGCAGACGACGAGACTTTAGTATGGCGTCGTATTCCATGCAAGAGATTGATGGGAAGCCAATGCCGTGATTCTCTGGGAACCCCCCAAGAAGGGATACCGGTAGTTAATTTACTGTTCCTGGGAGTAATCAGAACTCTTTCATCGTCCATCTAAATCAGGGGTGCCAAAGTGCAACCCGCGGACAGCAGGCAGCACACAGTGCAAAAGTGAGCGTCCACTTGAGGCATTCCTGATTTAGATCGTTCATAAGCTTGATACCATTTTCCCGCACCCGTCACCAGTATCGTGCTGCGCCGTTCTCCTCGATCATCTTCAGTGGGTACCTTTGAAAGTTTCTATCGCATATGACACAATGATCACTCAAGTTCTGCTGGATATTCGGTCTCATGGGACCGGTTCTACGAGCGTCATCGAATAGTGAACTAAATTGATGATCTTACGGAGGACCTCAGGGGTCGGGGTCTCATATGCCTCACGATCTGCACTGGTCACTGATCAGGCAGAGAACATAACATGCCATCCGGGCGCAATTACGTCGGATGAATGGAATAGCTCGGTCCCTGGGGTCTATTTTGTATTGAATGTCAGGCCCATGTCCCTGGTCGACAGTTTGTTGGCGATAATTATATTGCTCTAAGTCAAAACTGAAGCTGTGAGTCATACCAACTTTGTTTTGATACCGCACATTCGATATACCAATTTCGCAATATCGCTTATAACATTCGTAAATCTCTAGAGCGATGTGCGACCTGACACGTGAAAAAAATTGCGCTTATGGCGTGAAAATGTCATAAATGTGCCATGAGGTTAAAAATCTCAAATCTGGACATAATTCTCAACTAACGAGTTGCTGAAGCATAGACGCAACAACAGAGGTTCAGCAACAGCAATGAATTGGGGGGGGGGGGGCCCCAATTCATTACTTATATTTACCGTTTTTGTTTGGGTGATAGACAGGTCCTTAACCTTTTCATGCCAGAAAAAGGGACCTACTTCAAAAATTCACGCAGAGGATAGTAATGCTCTCTTACGAGACGTTTACAAGACTCCCACTGTAAAATGAGGCTGTAGTAATCCTAATCTTGCTGGCAGAAACCGATCTAATGATTCAATGCTGACGATAGTTCGTAGGTATGCATACGATTGATTAAAAAAATTCGGAAAGTTGTTGGTTCCAAACTGAACCATCTGGCATGAAAGGGTTGAAAATTCCTCTGCTCTTTTAGCATCCCCCTCCCCTTCTTCTTGTCAATCAGGATGGGCTGACGAGCAGGGGGGCGAGGATGCTAAGTTAAGGGAACCTCTTCGCTAAGGCCGAATGCTAAAACATCCTTTAACTAACGCTCCTTTAATAATACATAAATTCCAAAGGGGGAAAAAGAGCTTAAAGCTCTTTTTAGCTTAAAGACCCCTTTACCTCGCCTAAATGAGGTTTGTGCATTCGGGCCTTAGGCTCGAATGCACAAACTTCATTTAGGCGAGATAAAGGGGCGTTTAAGCTGAGGAACTCTTTTCCCCCCATAGGAATCCATGTCTTCTTAAAGGACTGTTAACTAAGGGAAGTTTCAGCATTCGGGCTTTATCCTCTAATCCCGCGGGAGGTTCAAAACATATCGTTTTCCGACCTCCCCCCCTCTCCTCATCCCAGCCTCGGGAAGCTAGGTGTACCTGTGCTCTAAGGTTGGGAATAAATATATTTTGGCTTATCTCAGGATACCTTCTCTTCAAATTTTCAAGGTCGATCTTGATATTAACTTGTCCAGATACATACCTGGTCGCGTGCACAAATTTCAATTTAACATAACGCAAAAACTGGGCATAAAAAGTAGTCATGATTAGGGAGCGGATTTTTATGAAATGCATATTTTTTATGCAGCTTCCAAAGAACATGCAACCCAGGTAGGATCATGCCTTATTGGTAGAGGAGGCGATTTCCGCCATTTTAAAAACGCATAAAAATGCATACTTTTAGGTTATTCTCAACATGTGCATATTTAGCTCTTTTTGGAGGAAAGTAAGGGTTTTCCAGGAATGTTCTTTTATGAGCTATCGATTAGAATTTTCGAGCGGTTATTTGCTGTGACCAGTAGCGGAGCGACAGGGGGGTCTGGTCCCCGTTCGTTTCCCTTAGCCCTCCATCGGCGAGTTCCTGGCTTTGCTGCTGGCAGTGACAACAATAGATAAACTATGCACAACAGAGGCATGAGATGTTCATTTAAGTTCCTTTTTCCGAAAAATTCGTACTGCAGAAAAAAACCCAACAAAACAGCGGTGGAGAGGCAGGGGACGGGACAACCCCTTCCATCTTATTCGATCGTTCTAGCAAAACCCCTGCAAGAATCGTCACGTATTGTACATAGAATCAAAGGCAACAAAGAGACCTTTACAATATAGAATTTGTCGCGATTGGTGCATGGAATTCCGAGCAATAGGAGGTAAGAGGCAATAGCCACTCAAGAAGCTCGGGGGAGCACTAAGTTCTTTTATTTTTGGAGTGACGCATTTTTGGTGAAAATCTCGTGGTTGGCGTCATCTAGGGGTGGTACTGGGCACTAGGCAAAGGACACCCACAGGGTTACAAAAGCATTTTTCAAGATAGAAGAGGTGAGACAAATAGGTTTGCCTACGGGATTCTACGGGTGGAACAATGTTTGACAACTGAATGATGAATGAACATAATGATACAGTGGAAACTGGGGGCGCTTCCGCGCTTTCTCATAGTAAGAGATCCACCTGCAATCAAGTGATTTCTCACGGTTATCTAAGATCTGCAGCCTTTCTTAGTCGGTCAAGGATACTGCCACGGAATGGGAAAGGAAAGTCAAAACAGAAATCCTCCGCATAGATGATGAGGTTCAAATTCCCGTGAGATCATGGGAAGATGAACGGAGTAAGCAGGCTGCAGAGAGACAGGGAAGCACGGGATGGGACAGAAGTTATTGTCCCGTGTCCCACTCGGCTGGATCTTGCGTTAAATAAATAAATCATTTACTGCTGGCAGCAGCGCCATCCAATTTCAATTCCATAAGTTAACGATCAATCCTCCAGACAGAATTACCACAAGAAGCTGTTGACGGTACCGTTTTGGATATATCGTAACCCTTCATCTTCGTATAAGAGTCCATTCCTCTCCGGAGAATCTGAATGACAAACAAGTCTCTTCCAGGACTTCCCTCTCCAACGTGAATAGGAGAGACAATTCGATAAGTGTAGGTTAGTCAGTTGGGACATTCTGACCCGAGTACAAGAAGCGAAAATCATTCAAGTGACTCTTCTCCAATCTCCACAAACGCAATGTGCAATGGCGAAGAGTATCCCAGTCAGTGATTAATGATGATCATGTCTGACACACACCTACAACGAGATATCAGGGTCCTCGTGTGACCGAGTTCGTGATGAGATATGAAGAACCTCTCAAGCAGAGCTGACGGATCGTGCCAGCACGGAATGATGAAAAAAAACTCAAGAAGTCCTTTGTTGGGTGAGTAAAGTATAATTTAGCCTGGTATGTATAAAGGAAACGTATCCCCGACATCTGAATGCTACATAATCACTCTCTCATCGGGAAGAATGAGGAGGAGATGAGAAGGAGAACAAAATCCCTCGTTTTCTCACCAAAGGAGACGGGATTCATATGTACGCAAAGGAAATCACAAATCTGTGATGAAGGAACAGAAGCCTAGGTCAGAAGCCCAGGGCAGGGCTAATGGAAGTTCATCATGCATCCACATAACGTCATACCCTCTACTTCACGTGTCTCCCTTATTTTTCATTTCCTTTATCAGCATAGCATTCTGGGGTAAAAAAAAAAAAAGCGATTCCACGTATGTTAGTATCTTCCCCCTATCATCCGGTATCATTTTTCTTCCTAATGACGTCAAGCACTGGCGCTATATATTTCCGGCTGAGATAAATCGTCTCTGTCTGGGTCAGGGTACTTGTTTCTCTCCAAACAAGCAAGGAAACATTATTCTAGAAATCGAAGATAGGACGTGGTCATGTCCTTCCTGTATGAGTAAGGACTCACTGTTTGACGGGGATGTTGCCAGTCCTGGAGTCGGCAATGAGTGTGAGCTTCGTGTATGCTTTGCGAAGGAACGTCGTCGGACTGGCATTCAGAGCCAGCAAATTGTATGCCATCGACATCAATTCTTCCGCCCACAACTTGAAAGAAAAACCGGAGAGAATTCTTTTAGCAACTCTTTTCGGTAGGAGCCTTCGCATGCAATATCTTGAGAATGGTGCAAGTCAAGGAGAAGAAGAAACGTTTCAGGATAACAGCTCTTTCCCCGCGAGACCTACTTCTCCAGGGATGGATGAAACCTGTCCCCGAGAAGAGCAAAGCGCCATCCAATCATCCTCCCATTCTCTCTCTTCCTATATAGGCTTTTACCCATCGTCTCAGGCAACGTGGACATTATTGGGAAGAAGAAATCGGAATCCCTTAGTCGTGATCCTTCCTTCCTTTGGTGGGTTCAACGCAGATCGAAGGAAAGGAGAGTGAAGGCTTCTATGCAGGAGACTCGGTGATTATCGGTTATCACGAAAGATTACGTTGCATGATCGCTCTGACGCAGTACGTGGTCAATACCCCCCTCTCCCTCTGCCCTATATCACGACTTCCAGCTATCTCTCTACTTTTCTCTGTCTATATATATTCTGCCTCTACTACCATGCCAATTTATTACCTTGCATACACGCAATGTGTTCCTCTCGTCTCCCATCAAGGGCGAAAGGAGAAGACTGGAAGGCAGGAAAGAGATGAACCGGAGAGGCAAAGAGATGTCATGAAAAAAAATGCATCGTCACAACGGGGAGAAATGCAACGCATTAGGATTCTTCCTTTTCTCCTTTTCGCGCTGCATTGCTATGCCGTGCCGGAAATCTTTTCTATACACTCAAGAGCGACTTACGACTAGCTACACACAAACCCCCTTTCCCTTTTGTAAAGATCTTTATCGAACCCGTCATTTCATGTGCGCGAACCCAGGTTTAAAGGCTCGGGAACCTTCCATATATCAAGATCGTAAAGCCAGGCTACCTCGTATATGAACCCACCTTTTACGAGTCCATATCTCCTGGATCTAATTCAACGTATAAATGTTCTGCTGAACGCATTTCAACAATTCTCTTTTCCTATCTGATGTAGGGCGACCACCTTCCCTCGATCCTGCAGACAGAATTTTCAAGGGATAATCGAGTCCAGGATGATTCGGGAGTGGTGGTCATCCTAAACCACATATTACTCCGTCCCGGAGGAGAAAAGGAAAGTTTATCCCTAGCCCTAAAAGAGTTTCGTAGCACCTACGGTGCCTCACCTTGACAACATCCTTTTTTAGGAGACAAAAATTGATGAAGCTGACATTGGCGAAATCCGTGCCATAGACAACAGTCAGGGTTTTGTCTTCCAAAGAATCTCCAGCTGGGCCCATCATCGACACCGTATCTCGGAGTTTCGAGTCCTGCAAGAGATGAGGGGAAAAAGTGGAAGAAGTAGATTGCGTCGTCCCCCCCCCCGTCAGGAATTTCTCCCATTCATGGCACACGCCCAAATATCTCATCAACATGGGGTCACACAAAGAAAGGCCATGCACTTCCATTCGCCATCTTTTTTCGTATCTGATACGAAACAGGAAACAAATGGGGAGTTTCTCTATCATTGTCAGCACGCAAGTTGGAAGCGATTCAAGGAAGAGAGGACTTGACACCGGAAAGCGGAGTCGCACAAAGCAACAACATGCACAAATAATTTCCAAAACATGATGTAATGTCAGGCTTACCTTCGGGATTTTTGCGTATCTGCCCGTGCGAGTGTCTCGTATGCATGAGATCTCCAGCATTTCAGTTTCCTGGAAAATTCGCAACATAAAAGAGATGAGAAATGTCACGGTCAGAAATGTACAACATCATAATTTGGTTTCATGACCAATTTGACGAATTGAATCACTGGAAGAAAAGGCATGCATGGAAGTCATTTGGAATCATAGTGCATTCCCAAAGCCAAAGAGTCCCTGGCAATGTCTCAAAAACTTGTGCATGGGTTCGGAATATTCATCAGTTGCCAAAATGCACAATAACAGTCCTTGGTTTGCTTCCAATGACATATGGCTGTCCTGATTCAAAAGGGCAGGGCTTTCTCACCACTTCCATGGCTGCAGAAAATGGGTTACAATAATGAAACCGCACCCAAATTCTACAAGTAAGCGTCAGATGCCTTTTTCTTTTTGAACTCAGAATAAGGTTGAATGAATTTATAACATTGTCACAACAATGATAATTTCTTCGTGAGATTCTACTCAATGAAACAGTAACACAACTCACCTTGTTCTGATCAGTCCAATGTAGAAAGAAGCCATGGTCATCAACCTGCAGAGTGACAGGTGTTCCCACAGCTGAGTCCTGAAAAACAATTTAGTGCCTCCTTCACATTTATATTTTCAATTTTATTTAACTTTGGCTTGTCTATATCATCTCAACACTGCAATTGGCTCTATCAGTAAACTGATTGACTTTCCCTTGGCTTATAACATACTAGAACTGACAATTCAAAATCCCAATGAGAAAAAGGCATGGGAGCATTCCTTGGGCAGCTGTATCACTCCTACAGCTCAATGGTATTCATTACACCTTGCCCAGCCTCAACACCATCTGCAGCCACCAACATCAAGACAAAGTATAGGTCCTGCCATGTCAGAAGATAAGTAGCCTGCTGAAAGTCCAAATCTACTGTCAGCATTTCTATCATTGTAACCACCAAACTTGTATGTCTGCCTCTAAACAGGTCTGGCTTACAAGAAGAAAGGCTTTCATCACATGACTATTCTAAGCATTTCTATTGGATGGCATATTTGCTACATTGATCAACACTTTCATTGCTTCACTTCTGTTTATCATATTTACAATGCAATGAGAGTAAGAACTTGAAAGCTGAAAAGCTAAATCTTTTTCATTTCATACTGTAGCTAAATAAGGTAGACCTTGGCATCTATTTGAATTCAGAATTAGGTCTCCATATTTTAACAAAAGTAGAAAGTTCCTCACCTCTGCTGCACATTTATTGTGATCTTCACTTACTGAAAATCCTTGAAGGACTGCATTGTCCCCTGATGTGTATTCAGTTGTGTGGTTCTTAGAGAGCACTTGATGTGAGTGAAGATTAATAGAGGATGAACTCTTCCTTAAATTAGCCTACTTCTCCCCTTTAGAGTAATGGAGTGAAAGATTTCCCATCTAGGAGGGTACATTGCAACTGCAATTTGCTCAATATGTAGCTTGCAGCTGTCTGAGACAGACACTGCAGAACGGTATTGCTTGTCAACCTTGGTGTGAGAAGCTAAACAAGGGCTGAATATGAAAAGTAGGGGGAAAAAAAAGATTCAAAGAAATAAAGTAATATGATATGAAAAAGGGGTATAAAATAACATGTCACACTCTCTCAAACTAATTAACTTTGAAATTGTCATAGCAGGGTTTGACTTTTAGGGACTAACAAAAGGAACAGAGATGCTGAATGAATGGTCCAAACTGTAGTTTATCATGCTATGAGTAAAAGATTTCCCTCGTGGTTGGTCTGGGATTCTAAGCTCTGATCCACAGACTCATGGAGTTCCTCCTAATATTCTCTTTGTATCCTTATACCACAAATAAGTCACAAGCATCTGTTTCCTCAACACTATTCTCCCTTACCAAAAAAAATAAATTGAAACAAGAAGGGATAATAGAATGTACACATTCACAGCAATATTTATGAATAATCTGGCAAAATTAAGGCAAATTTATTTTTTCTAATAAGCAAATGTGACAAGAAAGTGGCAGGGGGCTTTATCATAACTCTCCTCTATCAGCCTAAATAATACCTGCAGGATTAGGTAGATAATGCCAGCAGATCCCCATGAAAACTTACATCATCCCATTTCACACATTTTTCTCCCTTTTTGAGGACATCAGGAACCACAATGGGCTTGAGCTGAACAACATGAACTCCTGGTTTGGCACTGGCCATTTCCTGGCCTGTGGCCCTTCTAGTCTATTTCAATTTGTCATCAAATTATGATAAAACAGATGCAGCCTCTTCCAACACAATGCATCACAGTCAACACATGGAGACAGCATCTTTGAGCGAATCAAATATCAACTATTTCTCATCACAAACCTGCATTCAGGAATGACAAAAATCAATAGTGGCCCAATAGTAGTAATGCTAAAGCTAGAACAATATGTGTTGACATATAGCCTATGAATTCATATTACTTCACATATAACATGCACCAATGCTAGGTGAGTCAACAATCCTTATCATGAGCCGACTACTGCAGGCCTTTAGTGACTCCTGATAACTCCATGAAGGTCTCAGCTGGCCAAGTCTCTTTACTGAAATGCTATGGCTAAATTGTAAAAATACCAGTCAAATAGATTTGCTCAATTCAAATCTTACCAATGCTTTCTTCACCTATTCAGCAATTACCCTGTATTCCTTAGCACCATAAATCACCAGAGACATTTCTTAATGCATCCAAATATTCAACATTGAGTTTATGAATGGCTGGGAATTAGTAGCTGAATTCCTTGGTCATAGCTGGCTGACTATAATAAGATTCAGAGACTTAAAAATCTCAATCAATAATGGAAGGTTTAAAGTATCTGGGAAAGTACCTTCAGCTACTGCTTCATTCACTTCACTAACTGCAAAAAATTTGTAAACTTTCATGATATAATCACTTTTTCAAAAAACAAAACTAAAAAAAAACCAGATTAATTTGAAATATATATTAACCCTTTCAGGCATTGTCCATTCCAATGGACATCACATTTCCCATGCTTCTGTGGTGATACCTCAAGATTCTCGTGACTTAGCACCCCACATTCCATTACAACGGACAATATTCTGCACGACTGAACTCCATAGGAAGCCTTATTTTAGTTGTCAGTTTTATATTATTCAGTTACATATTTACATTTACAATATATAATATATGGTATATTTATATAAAATATAAAACCTATATACAGAGAATAAAAAGTGAAAGTAGAATAGGAAAATGACCAAAAAATACCAAAAATATATTGTTCTGATAGTAGCTTTAATTCAGGTCTAAAAGGTTAGACATGAATTAGTTAACCCCTTCAACCCCAGAGCAACCTTCTCATCCCCAAAACATACTTTTTTATGCATCAAATTTCCATAGCAAACACCACTGTCTGGGGAGAAGCAGAATAATTCCTTGATATGTGGAGACACAAAGAGTACCAAAAAGACATGACCAGCAATCCTGCCTTCATTAGCCAGAAATATTAACTCAGAGCAAGCTGGCATGCAAAATTACTCCCATGAACAAATGACATCAAATCTAATGGCTATTCATGCAAGCTAAAATTGATGAAACTCAAAATCAACAGTTCCTACTCGAATTCAATGAAAGTGTCTATATATGATGGAAACTATCTCCAGAGTTTTCAAATATAAACAAAAAATGAAAAATTTATCATTTTTCACTTCACTTACAGGGTAGGTGGCTAATACTCCATACAGTATAAGAAGCATTCAAATCAGTGAGAATTTTGCTACTTTCTTTCTCCTTACACTTCCTTCGACAATGCAATGGCTCAGTTAGCATGACAATTTTGCCACTTACACAACTTGCTGAGGAAACTAATTTTTTTTCATATCTGGCATTTTTTCATTCATTATATCCTACATGGGTGGCACACTAGTTTCCTTGAGCATTTAATCAGTCAAACATTCTCATCCAAGGGCAACCTGGACTGGAAGGCCATTTTTTCCCAAAAAGCTTTTGTAAACAATTTAAATTTATAATTATAATTTTGTAAACAATTTTGCAACATTATTCACTGGAATGCTTGCACCCATTGCACATTTGCTTGTCCTGAGTTACATAATTCACTATATTAGTGGTGTACTCTGATGATTCAGAAGAGTGGGCCCAACCACCATTACATAATCCTTCTTACTCATAGGGTAGTAAAAGTGGCATGGCTGCCACTGGCAAAAGCCTAGCCATTCATCCATTTCAGCAACACAAAATATTGCCAAAATTGATATAGAATCTCATTATGGAATTTGGCTATTCTGTACATCCCTCTGGTCCTCTTCACTTAATGGGGAGCAAATCCACACATGAAATGCAGTACAGACCTTATTGAAATTCACCCTGCGATTTAGGGTTTGGTTAGTAACAGGCTGTTTTGTAGGTTAACCCATTGGCATTGATCTACGTTGATCTACGAGACCATCACATAGTACAGCTACCAGGCCATTCTATAGAACTTCAAGATTGTCTTGTATCTATATTTAGAAATATTAAAAATTCTCAGTTGAACACACGTACATAAGACATCGCACTCAAGCTAAGTTCTTAAAACTCTGCATTCTGTGAAGTAATGATTATTTCTCAAAATAAATGCTAAAATATGGTGTATGGTGTAATCATTCCAATGCCTATGAGTTAATTGATGCCTTGACAAAGGTGAGTCTTGGAGTACTTTCAGTGTTCATCCATAGAAATCTGTTAGGCCTGCATTAAAAATACATGAAACTGGAAAGTAGACCTCAGTACATTGTCATTACCTGTTTTTAGTGCATGTTTTTCATCATCACAGAGTGAATAGTATGAGACCTATCACTGTCATCAATGAATTCTTCATAGTGCTTGATATTTTTGCAACACCATCAATATAAAAGGGTGAAACCAATCTTCCTGCTATTGCTAAGCCACAGCTTGGGATAAAGAGCTAGAAGACATGAAAGTCACTTTAAAAAAAAATATTAACGGTTCATTCTGTGTGATTACATAGGTCAGCATCAGGTAGAATGCATCCTTTCATTAAGGGTATTTTGCAGAGTCTAGGCCTAACACAAGCTTACATGGTTCTGTCTGACTTATTTCCCAGTCAATAATAAAGGATGCCTACCTTTTCCTTAGGTTGTGCCTCCCTTAACCCTTTGACTGTTTTAACACAGTGGAGATTGCTGATGCATTTTTGTATAAAAATTGACCCTGCTTGTCAAAAAACAATAGTTCATGTTAGAAAATGTCATATCATGATAACTATTTAAAATAACAGTTACATGTATAAATAGCTGTGAAATAACCTAGAAACAGGGAATGTTCTGAGCCTGAGAACACACCTATGCTGTCACTACATAAGCCCAAGTACGTACTCAGGCAAACAGCCAAAGGGTTAATCACACCATTCACTGCCAATAGAATTCACAAAGGAACTATCGGTTGCTTTCATAATACACAATGCTATGCCATGAATGAACCAGGACTTTAAAACGGATATAAGTGGTATGTGATAAGGGCATCTGCTGACTTCACATTAATCAATCTAGTGTCACTTTCAGTCATATTTTAATTTAGATGAAATTCACTTTTACATAATCTCCAGGTGATGGGAGTCCTGCTAGCTGTAGATTAACTGAAATTTGGAGTTGAACTGAAAATGTAAAGTGGTTTGTAATTGTGAATTTGTGAAAATTTAATTTCTCAGCTAATGCACCCAACAAGGAATACCATTTACTTGATTTTGACACATTTTCCACAATACCATAATCTCATGCTGATAGATATGGATAGTGTAACAACTTCATGTGGACCTATAAAATTATGACAAGACAGGTTTCATTTAATCCATACAAGATTCTCTGAAAAGAAAAAGATCCCATATCCTGTCCAGCATAGCATGCTTGCATTAAATACATACCATAGTATATTTCTGCTTATACCCAATGAAACAAATATCAAATAGGTAGAGAGTAAATTTTAAAATGTAAAAAAAATTATACAGGGCAATTATAAAGAAACTTCCACACTTTAGTATATAATATCTCGGAAATGGCATGACATGAGAAGCTGAAATTGCACATGGGTGTTAGGGGGGGTCATGCATTCTAAGATGCCATAGTTATCACATGTTGTTATCACATCAGGGGCGCCACTGTGACTTAATGTCTCGCTAATCACAGCAACTGTTCAATATGTGCACCTTCAGTGTCAAGAATGCAAAACAAATAAGTTCCTTAAGAGGGACTGCAATGTTCTAGCACTGTTTGGCTCTGTATCCCTGAGTCTTCTGACAAGTTCTAGTAGTATGCAGTACACAAAAAAAATCCCATATGACCGACCACATTAGGGCACAGATACCCCAAGAACCTAATTTCTTCATAGCTGTCAGTTAGAGGTTGTTTGCTCTCCTAAACATCATAAAATCCATTTTCACAGTACACTTTGCACTGGTTGCCTTCTTACAGCATAAGCATAAGCTTTCTCTAGCTAATAGTGTGCATTTCAGGTGATAATGAGAATGACTTTAGGTGTGGTTTGATTCAATTAACAACCTTTCAGCTATGCTCTTTCATTTCCTTCTAGCTTAATTTGGCTCAAGTGGGATTCCTGAAAAAAGATCTCTCTACACTGAAGGTTTGAGTAAGACTGCGGCCCTGAAGAGGATCCTGCTATTCTTTCAGATCTTAAAGGCTCCTTTCCTTTCATTCTTCTTCTTAAATTCCTGTGCATTCTATTTCATAGTCTGTTGCTTTGGCTGGCCAGCTATGGGATTGCATCTTCATTCTCATATGTATAAATTTAAACTTATTGGGTCTTATTTTTTTGCCATACCCTGTGTATATTCTTGAATAATGGAGGAAACTGGGCAACTTAATAACCAAAATCAGGAATTAGTAGAGCTCCCAGAATTAGCTCAATACTAGGTCAAGGCCTTTACCTATGTATGAAATTCTAAATGAAAATCTTTTCCTGTTATAACTGAAAATGTATCATATTATCCTCATTTAAGTTAGCTTCCAATGTAAGCTAATACTCACTTTTGTACATAACCAGCAGAATCTCATGGAGGAATTCAAAAAATTAAATTATTTTAAAAGTAATATATGAAATCAGTTTTTATTGATGGCCTGAATGCTTCATAGAAAATCTTTTACTGGAACCATGGTCATTGCAAATATAATACCATCTTATTTTGTCTTGCAAAGTCCATATGCAGGGTCCATTGCTTTGGCACCATGAAGTGCTTGAAATCCTTTCATGAACATATCCTTCTTCAACATAAACCATTTGGCAAAGAAAAGCCTGGGGAGGCAAGCAGGGAGAGGGATGCACATGCTAGTATTGATAACAGACTTAAA